CTGCATCTACTGACCTCTGCACAGTTGTTCTCCATGAATAATAATAACATCTGCATCAATATGCTCAATCTGTTAAGACCTGTTAGGTGCCAGGCAAGAGTCTAATTACTTTTCCCGCCTTTTCTCGTTTGAGCCTCACACTCGGCCTTGGGAGGCAGGTGCCATCCTCATCCCCATTTTACTGATAAGGAAACGGAGGCTCAGGTCTTGTGAGGTCTCCTGGGTAGGAAGTAGCAGCGCTGAGCCTTGGATGCTTCCACCTGCCACTCATGGCCTCGCATTCCCAGATCTCTTTCCTCCGAGCCATCCAGCCCTTTGCCAAAGGCCCACTGACCCTTGCGGCAGTAGGTGGTGGTCTGGCAGTGCTCGTCCGACAGGCAGGCCCTGGCAGAGTCCATGTCCATGCGGCGCAGGGTGGGCAGGGCCGGGTGGTAGAGCTGGTGCTTCACGCTGGCCAGCTGGTTTCTCCGCCGCTCCATGGGGAGCAGGAAGGCGGGGGACGCATACAGGTGGGTGGTGCCATCATCCCAGGGCATCAGGTCGATGATGCGGGCCATCGCTGGGGAACAAAGAGTTCAAAGGGGTTCACCCTGGGCTCGGGTCAGCCGGACACCCTTCCACGTCGGAACACCACCTTGGCCGGTGCTGATGTGTCTTCTGGCCCGGCATTTATTGAGCACCTACTGTATGCCAGAACTTAATTTTATTTTTTTCATGAGCTCCCAAGGGGTGGCAGGGACAGTCAGACAACATGGCACACACACGGGATGTGCTAGGGGCTCTGACAGGGTCAGGACAAGGGTGTGTGTGTCTGGGGAGGCTGGGGTTGGGGCATTCGGGGAATGGTCTAGAGGTGGTGGCATTTGAGTCTATTCTTAAATAACGAGCAGGAAGCGGCAGCAGCAACTGGGTTCAGATTTAGCTCGGAACGGGAACTAATTATGGACTTCTGGCCTTCGCTAAGGCCTCTGGCATTTACTCAAAATTCTGCAGGGAGACACGTGCATTTTAAAAGAAGGGGAGAGACAAGATACGAATGAGGGAGACATTCCTGCCAGGGCAGTGCCTCCCTTTAAAAAGCAGGTAGCCGAAACCGATTTGACTCAGTGGATAGAGCGTCGGCCTGCGGACTGAAAGGTCCTGGGTTCGATCCTGGTCAAGGGCATGCGCCTTGGTTGCGGGCACATCCCCAGTAAGGGGTGTGCAAGAGGCAGCTGATCGATGATTCTCTCTCATCCATGTTTCTAACTCTCTGTCCCTCTCTGTAAAAAATCAATAAAATATATTTAAAAAGAATTAAAAAAAATAAGAAGCAGGGAGTCCCAGGAGCCATTCTGCCTTTTCAAATCTAGTGAGGATTTGCTGACTTAGCTCATTTCCTTCCCATGCCCCCGTTAGAGGCCAGAGATGGAGGAGGTGGGAGGTGGGCAGGAGGCGAGGACGTAGGGCCATGGGAGAGCAGGGAGAGGGCACAGGGGATGGACGGGCTTGCAGGGGGAGGGCCAGGGAGTGGAGCAGGGAAGGGATGCTACCTGATCTGCAGGCCTCAGGCCCCAGGTGGTCAGGCTTATCGGGATTTTCTCTTCTTCTAGATGCTTGGGGCGGGGAAGAGGCAGGGACACGGGCCAGGCCCAGTGCCTTATAAGACACCTTATCCAGGAGGGCAAAGAATGTTCTGCAGGGACAATGCCCATTGCACCCTGATTGTGAGGGCACCCACTCCTTGGCAACCCTGGCAACCACAGGCTCTGGGGACAAGGGCCTGCAGCCAGGGGTCCTCTGTTCCTCCCTCCCATCCCTGCCCAGCCCTCTATCGCAGCCTTCCTGAAGGCTGCTGTCCCCTGGGCCACAGGCCAGGCATGTTGGGAAATGTCAGACAGGGAGCCGGGCTCCCTGGGGAGGGCCGTGCCAGGGCTGGCCAGGGCAGGCTGTGTGATCCTGGATGAGTTACTGTCTCTCTCTGGGCCTCAAGGCTCCTGTCTGTGTTAAGCAAGGGCCCCAGGCCCTGCCATGAGGGGTGTCTGGGGTCTGGGCGGGTCCTCCCTCCCTGTAAACCTCAGGAAAGAGGGCACTGTCCCCCCTGCCAGCCACTGGGGCTCCAGAGTGGAGATTAGTGGCGGCCAGTGTCCAGAGTCAGCATAAGGGGATCAGGGAGAGTGGTGGCCTCAGCAGAACGGAGATTAGCAGGTGATATATCATCCCCAGCCCCCTGCAGCCTCCCTCCCTCCCTCCCTCCCTCCTTCCCAGAAAGCAAGGTCACGAGTGCCCAAGCCCAGGACCCCGAAGCTCTGGGGCCAATTACCACCTTGGTCACAATCAGCGAGAAAGACCCTCAGGCAACGGACCCCTGGGAGAGCCTGAGCTATTTGCATATATTGGCATGTACATTGCATATGCCTGCCTGGGTGCTGAGCCTGTGAGTACACGTAGGATTAGGCACTATGAATGGAATCGAACCTGGGACCTTTCAGTCCACAGACCGATGCTCTATCCACTGCGCCAAACCAGTCAGGGCTCCATGAGATACTCTTGAGAATGCAAAAGAAACGGAGATATGTGCTATCATGTGGATGATCCTCAAAAACGTTATGCTAAGAACATTATGAAAGAAATCACACACAAAAACACTCCACAGATTGTGTGATCCATTTATATGAAATTAGAGGCCCAGTGCACGAATTCGTGCACAGGTGGGGTCCGTTGGCCATGCTGGCGATTGGGGCTGATTGGGGCCGATTGGGGCAGGCCAACCAGGGGGAGGGACCATGAGAGGTTGGCCAGCTGCCGGAGGTTGGCGGTGGGAGCACACTGACCACCAGGGGCCAGCTCCTGCATTGAGCATTTATCTCCTGGTGGTCAGTGCAGATCATAGCTACCAGCTTTTAGGCTTTTATGTCTATAGATATGCATGAAAGGCAAAGCCTGGGAGACAGAAGGCAGATTAGTGGTTGCCTGGGGCTGGGGCGGGACAGGAAGTGACATGAGGGATCTCATGGGGGTGGGGTGGGCGTGTGATGGGAATGTGCTAAAACTAGAGGGTGCTAATTTCCTAGCTTGGGCATGTTACTCAAGCTCATTGTACACTGAAACGGGTGAAATTTATGGCATGTAAATTATATCCCTTAAAGTGGTCCTGAAAAATAGATGCTAACTAAAGAAAGCAAAAAACAGAGTCTAGAAGCTTCCAGTACCTCTTTCCAAGTCACAGCCCCAACTTCCTACAAGTGGTAATTCGTTTTCCTGCTGCATAGTTTAACCATGACTTATCTTTTTTTAAAATATATTTTATTGATTTTTTACAGACAGGAAAGGAGAGGGATAGAGAGTTAGAAACATCGATGAGAGAAACATCGATCAGTCACCTCTTGCACACATACCCCCTACTGGGGATGTGCCCGCAACCAAGGTACATGCCCTTGACCGGAATCGAACCTGGGACCCTTCAGTCCGTAGGCTGATGCGCTATCCACTGAGCCAAACTGGTCAAGGCACCATGGCTTGTCTTTACCTTCGTTCGCAGCCACAGACAAGACAGGCTAACATGGCCCATCAACTAAAAGCCCCCTGTAAGATTTTCTTGTCGTGGCTTACAGGCCTACATGACATGCCTGGGCCTAATCTCCTGCCACCCTCCCTACACCCACTGAGCCCTCGGCCCCTGGCCTCTGGCCCTTGCCTGCTCAGGTGCATCCAAGCTCATTCCAGCCACAGGACCTTGACCTTGGCAGTGTCCTCTGCCTGGACCACCTTCACTCAGATCTTGCTTTTCCTGTCTCAGCTCAAATGTCTACCTCTTCACAGACACCTGCCAGGCCCTACTCCCTGCCCTTTTTGCTTCCTTCATGGGAATCAGCAAAATTTGCAATATTTCTTTTGTAAAAATATGTTTTTATTGATTTTTTTTTTTAGAGACAGAGAGGAAGGGAGAGGGAACGAGAGAGAGAGAGAGAGAGAGAGAGAGGGAGAGAGAGAAACATTGATGAGGGAGGAACATCAACATCGATCAGCTGCCTCATGCACACCTTCTGCTGGGTATTGAGCCCACAACCTGGGCATATGCCCTGTCCAGGAATTGAACCGTGATCTCCTGGTTCATAGGTCCACACTCAACCACTGAGCCACACCAGCTCGGCTACAATATTTCTTGTCCTTCATCTGTTGTACTTCTGTCCCCTCCGTTGAATAGAAGCTCCAGGAGGGCAGGCCTGTTCAATGTGCCAAGGTTGGTACGCTGAGTGGCACACAGGAAGAGCTGGAGAAATACGGTGGATGATCATGTTAGGTTCCCATCCCTTTGCTGAATATCCCGCTACCCCTCTGTCCGTCCAGGCCCTGCCGCCTCCCTGCATCCCTCTTTACTGGGCCTTTGAGCCTCTTGTCCTCCTCCCTGAGATCTCTGTCTCCCCTCGAGGGTCCCATCTCAGGTCAGGTGGCCAGCTCCCCCCAGTCAGTCACCCAGCAGTCCTTGGATCTTTCCTAAAGGCCTGGCCCTGAGACCACAGTGGTTCCGGCAGAGCCCAAGGCAGGGGCCTCTGAGGCTCTGCCTACCCCAGCTGCCCAGGATTCAAGGATTCTGGACCAGAAAGAATCTTCCTGAGTTCAGCCTTGGGGCTGGGGGGCTGGGGGGCTGGGGTGATTACTGAGAGTGTACAAGCTCCTGTCACTTTGAGGAGTTTCCCAGGACCAACTGGAGACCCCAAGCTGTCATTCTCCGACCAGCCACTCTGCAGCTTGGCCAAGGTATGTGGGGAGCCAGGCCCCTGTACCCCTCCCCACCCAGGCTCCCAAACCTGTCTCTTCCCCCGCCCCGCAAGGCTCCTTGCATGGACCCCAGATCCCTGCTGGCCTCTAGGGGGCTGCTAAGGTTGGCTCCCTGAGCATCCACCTTCTCCTCCCCCAGCTTTCATTTGGCACCAGTTAATCCTTTGCACACGGCCCGCCCTGTGCTGTCAATCAAGGGCCCTCCTGCCCGGTGCTGTCAATTAATCCCTGTCTGAGAGGGCGGTTGTGAGTGGCGGGGAGAAGGCACTTCCTGGCTGGTTGCCGGCCTCGGAGCAGGTACCTGGGGGTGGGGTGGCGGTGGGCCTGCTGGTGGGATTCCCGTGCTCTCCTTCTAGCAAGGCCTTTGGACACGGAGAACCCGGCGAGGCTGGGAACCAGGGCTACCCTCCCTCCTCCCCTCTCCCTCCCTCCCAGTGAGCCTCAAACCTTAGTGTGCATCTGGCTCCCAGGGCAGCCTGTGAAATGCAGATTCTAGGCCCAGAGAGGGCTTGGGGGCCTAGGAATCCACATTTCCGCCAGCTCCTCACCAGATTCTGAAAGGCTGGTAGGAAGGAGACCCTGAGAGGGCCAGCCCAGGACCGTGGTCAGCAAACCGCAGCTCGCTAGCCACATGCAGCTCTTTGGCCCCTTGAGGGTGGCTCTTCCACAAAATACCGCGGCCTGGGCGAGTCTATGTTGAAGACGTGGCGCTAGAAGAAGTTTAAGTTTTAAAAATGTGACTCTCAAAGGAAATTTCAAATCATTGTACTGTTGATATTTGGCTCTGTGGACTCATGAGTTTGCCGACCACTGGCCCAGGACAACAGCCACTACCTCTACCTCCCCCCACAACACCCCCTCAGCAGACATGGATGCCTGGAGGGGTCATGGTGGCCCAAGGTCACTCTTTCAGAGGCTGAGCCTCTCACAGGGGAGGCTGGCTGCGGAGGGAGGCCGGGTGGGGACAGAAGTCAGGTCTGTGAGCAGGAGAGGCAGCATGGCCCCAGGCCTCAGGGAGCGGGGCCCTGAGGCCGGGATCCTGGGCCTGGGTCTGCCCTGTCAGCCTGGGGCTGGGATCCTTGGTGGAGCAGGGACAGAGGAGCCCTCTGCCAACACCTGGCTGCCCAGGGCAGGGGCGGGCACACCAGCTGGGCATTGCCTGGAAGGGCCGGTTCTGGGCTGGGAGTTCGCATAGTGTGCCCGGTGTGGTGGCCCTGGGCCGGGCCCTCCTTTAGGGATCTGATCTCGAGGGAGGGGGCTCCCGGTCCCCGAAGGTAAGTGACACCAGAAACTGAACCCAAATAAGGCTAACCTCTCCCAGTGAACCGGGCAAGAGGGGCCTCGCTGGCATTTTACTGTAAAACATGGAAGTCAGGAAAATAGGTTAGTTTTGTCTGTATTCAAACGGATTCCCCCCCGAAACCGGTTTGGCTCAGAGGATAGAACATCAGCCTGCAAACTGAAAGGTCCCAGGTTCGATTCCGGTCAAGGTCATGTACCTTGGTTGCGGGCACATCCCCAGTGGGAGGTGTGCAAGAGGCAGCTGATCGATGATTCTCTCTCATCGATGTTTCTAACTCTCTATCCCTCTCTCTTCTTCTCTGTAAAAAAAATCAGTAAAATATATTAAAAAAAAACACCCAGAAAACAAACAAACAAAAAAACGGATTCTTCACTTACTTATTAGAATGTATTTATAAAAATTTGCTAGGGGAGTATGCTGAACGTGATCTTCCACAACAAGCATCTTTACTCCAAACAACAGTCACAGCTTCCAGTGTGTGCCACTCGCTGCTCTAACCAGTTTATTTCATCCTTACACTCGCCCCGTACAAAGTAGGCGCTTCTATCCCATTTTACAGGCAAGCAAACTGAGGTATGATGAGTTTCGCTCATTTGCTCACGGCTGGAGCATGTAAAACTTCCCGTGTTAGTAGTTCAGACAGATCCACAAGATTCCATTATTAGATGGAGTGTAATTTATTCAACACGCACCCCTCTTACAGGGGAACACTGAGGTATTTTCCCATGACCAGTCCCCTGCCGCGGGATATTTGAATTTTTTCATCTTTTGCTGTAACGCTGTTGTGAGCAGCCTCTTTCTACACATGTGCTTGTGGGCCTGACTATTGCTACGTGGCGATACGATTGCAAACACGTTCTAAAAGATGGGAGGAAAGGGAAATGGTGACCCCTGGAAGTGGCCCCCACATGGTGGGGGGCCTGAGGACGCTGTGCTCTCCAGGTGCCAGGATGTTGGGCTGGGTCCAGAGGGTGCTGCCTCAGCCCCCAGGGGCCCCTCAGAAGACCAGGATGGAGGAGGAGGAGGAGGAGGAGGAGGAGGGGGCACAATCAGAGCCAGAGCCAGAGCCCGGCCTGGAGGCGGAGCTGGAACCAGCGCCAGAGCCTGACCCAGCCCCCCAGGAGGCCACGCTGGTAAGAAGGGAGGGTGAGGGGGGACCTGGTCCATAGTAGAGAGTTCAGGCTTTGCAGGTCACTCCATCTCTGTTCATTGCTTAACTCTGCCACGGACGCGTGAAAACAGCCACCGGCCATACGGAAACAAAGGAGCACGGTTGTGTTCCAATAAAACTTTATTTACAAAATGCGCAGCAGGCTGGACTGGGCCCTCGGGCGTTGTTTGCCCGCCTCTGGAGCAGTGGTTCTCAGCCTTTCTAATGTGGCGACCCACAGGTGGAGAACCGGGAGCAGGGCCACCTGAGACCATCGGAAAACACAGACATTCACATTATGATTCATAACAGCAGCAACATTACAGTTATGAAGTAGCAACGAAAATAATTTTATGGTGGGGGAGTCACCACAACATGAGGAGCTCTATGAGAGGGTCGTGGCATTAGAATAGAGCTGTCAAACATGCATGCATGCTCATGTATGTCTGTGCCTGTATGTAAATGCATGTGAGAGTGAGTGTGCCTGTGTCTGCGTTTGCTGTACACGCACGTAAGTGCATGAAGCAGCAGGAGGTGCTGCTGCAGAGGCCGATGAGGGGCAGGGGGCAGGGGCCGGCTCCCCGGGGCTGCTGGAGGAGGTGGAAGGCTTGGCCCAGGAGAGGGAGAGCCTGACTGGGGCTTGGGGGGGTATGTGCTCCTCTCACCTCCCTCTTCCCCTGCAAGGCTACCCAGCTCTCTAACATCGCCCTCTTCCCAGGCCGCTGACATGGGGCAGCTCCCTGGGTAGCTTCTTGGGGACCTGGGGGTGTGTGAGGGCCCCACCCTGAATGAGGGGCCCCTGGGACTGGAGGAAGGGGAGGCCGCCAGGGTTTACAGAGACGATTATGACAACAGAGTTGTTTGGTCCTGTGGGAGGTGGGAGGTGGGAGGGTCCCTTACCGGTGGGTCCGGGGCTGCCCTGCCGGAACCGGACTGGCCTCTCGAGGGCTCACATGGTCCTCTCTGAACCCCCAGCCCCCAGAGGAGCCATCGGGAGGGGAGGACGGAGCTGTGGCCGCCCCAGGCCCTCAGGGTGAGTGCCGCTGCCCCGGATGGCAGGGCCCCGGTGGGACGGGCTGTGCTCCCCCCTCGGCCTGCAGAAGAGCCGGAGGCTGGCATTCCGGCTTCAGGGAGGCTCAGAGGAGCGAGGGGTGGGCTCCTGGGCACTTCGTGGCTGAGCTGAGCTGGAATCCCAGCCTCCTGACCTGCTTGGGGCTCTCCCCTCTCCCTTGCCTCTGACTTGACCTCCCAAACAGGGTAGAAATGGGCTCTCCAAGGCCCCAGTGTGGGAGACTTGCCAGGCCGGTGTGGCTCAGTGGTTGAGCATCGACCTACGAACCAGGAGGTCACGGTTCGGTTCCCGGTCAGGGCACAGGCCCGGGTTGTGGGACCGATCCCCAGTGTGGAGCGTGCGGGAGACAACTGATCGATGATTCTCTCTCTCATCAGGGATGTTTCTATCTCTCCCTCTCCCTTCCTCTCTGAAACCAATAAAAAGTATCTTAAAAAATGTATATGAAATGTGGGGCCTCTTTTTCCAGAGACCCAGAAAGCCGTCCCATCTCCGCCCTCAGTCCTCCAGGCCTGGGTGGCTGTGGACCCCGGAGTGAACAGGTACTGTGAACCTTCCCCCTCCTGGGGGCCGGCCCCCCACCCCAGCTAGGGAGCCATTTGGGGGTGGGGCCCCACCCACACTGCTCTCCGATCCACGGTCACTCCCAGGCCAAATGTGGGGCATTTGGGGAAGAAATAGGTGGGTGGTGGTCTCTAGCCAAATAGGTGGGTGGTGATCTCTTGCCAAAATGGGCCACACGACCAAGAGAAGTGAGGGTGGGGCTCTCGGTGCCAGAGGGAAGTAGCCAGAACTTCCAGCTTTTCCATGAAATCCCTGCTCGGCTCACACATTATCCGAGGCAGTGAGCCCGGGACCCTCAGAGCTAGCATGACCAGCCTTGGCCACAAGGAAGCGACCCTCTCCTTCCCCTCTCCGCCCCCCTTCCCCCCAACCCTCCATCCTCTGGAGGCAGGATGTGTGCCAAGTGCAAGGCGGGGAGCCCTGAGCCAGGCCAGGGGGAGGCGGGATGATGGCGAGAGCTGGCTGCTCTCGAGCATGGGCTCGGGATGGCATCGGGCACACCCAACTCACAAAGACTTGGTGCCACTCCTGAGGCTCAGGGGGGGACTGAAGGCTTGTGATTCCAGCCAGTTGCTTTAGGTAGAAAAACCCAGGATCTTTGTTCAGTTGTATGGCCACTCGGACCAGGCGGGGCTGGGGAGGCTGAGGGGGGCGTGTGCCTCTGTCCCCCGCAGTCCCGGTGCCTGGCTGCTGACCTGGCTGAGGAAGGGTGCGGCCAAGGTCATCCCACAGCCCGTCCACGGCCCTGCAGCCTGCTCCGAGGGCCCCGCTCAGGTACCTCCGGGACTGGGAGGGGCCCCGGGAGGCTGGCGCACCTGGGCTCTGCCCACAGCTGTCTGTCTGTCTGACTGTCCCCACAGGCGGGGGCTCAGATCCTCGGGCACGGCAGCCCAGGGGCCTCAGGTAAGGAGGGACGGTGGCTATAGAGCTGCGGCTGAGGGGCCACGGGCATGGGCCTGGCCCAGGGGAGAGTCCACGGGCCGAACTTTATGGGACTGGCCTTGGGTTCGAACCTGGTTTTGAGTTGGGGAGGGGGCCTCTGGGCAGGCCTCTTGCTGCTGACCGCCATGCTTTCTTCTGTAGATGGATCCAATGAGGCCTCCAGGGCAAAGGACACTGGGTGAGTCCCCATCCCTGAGCCTCATCTGTAGTGTATGTGCATGTGTGCGTGCGTGCGTGCGTGCGTGTGTGCGTGTGTGTGTGTGTGTGTGTGTGTGTGGAGAGGGGCGGGGGCGGTTAGGGAGGATGAAGGGGGGGCGGGCAGTGTGCAAAGAGCCCAGGGTCTTGTGTTTAAGAGAAGGGTCCACCACCACCTCAGTGTGTGACCTTGGACATGCCATTGGTCTCTTCTGGGCCTCACCTTTCTCATCCACAAAATGGGGCTATGGGTTCCTGGCTGACCACGGGCCCCCGTGCAGGCCAGCGCCCTGGCTGCTCAGGTGGTTGGAGCAGAACCTGGAGAAAGTGCTGCCTCAGCCTCCGAAAGCCTCCGAGGTGAGTGGAGGACTAGGGGCAGCAGGAAGCGGACCACCTGGATGGGTCTCTGGGGTCTCAGGCAGTCTGTCCCCACCCCTTCCCGGAGGGTCCCTGGTGGGAGGGGTGCCTGGAGGAGGGCCTGGATTGAGGGGAAGGCTGGGTGGTCGCACGGCTGGCCAGGGGCGGGGGTAGGTGTGGCTAGCCCTGCTCCATGACCTCTCTCCCTGCTTATGATCCAGGGCTGCAGAGACGAGCCTGCAGACGCTGCCTTGGGCCCAGGTACAGGCAAGGGACCTGGGAAGGGGCTGTCTGAGATGGTCACGGGCTGGGCTGGGGTAGCCCTGGGGCCCAGGGGTCCCGGCGAGGGAGGGGTTCAGGGCTTGCTGGTCTATTGTGGGGGGCACTAGAACCCCCTTCCCAGTCCAGGCTGAGGAGCCAGTGGCCTGGGACAGCCTAGTGAGGTCTTGGACATGTCTCTCTGCTCCCTGGGCCTCCGTCCATGTCTGTCTGCTGATGGGGGTGGTGGGTGGTCCCCAGGGGCTCCCCATTCAGTCATGGTTACTACCCCTCAGATCTGGTCCCCTGGGTCCTTCAGGGGTCCCCTGGAACCCGGTCCGAATCTCCTCTCCCTGCTGCTCAGAGATGTCAGAATGCCCCTTGGAAACGGAGTCCATGCTGCAGCCCCCAGAGAGTCCCCCACTGCCTGCTCCTGGCCCCCCAGAACCCCAGGAGGAGCCTGAGGAGGAGCCTGAGGAGGAGTCCGCTCCAGAGCCCCAGCCCGGCTCCCAGGCTTCCTCCCTGCCACCCCCCGGGGACACTGCCAGGTGAGCCCCCTAAACGCCACACCTCCCGCGGGGAGCAGCCCAACACCCGACCTTCGACAAATTCTTTTATTTTTTATTATTATTATTTTTAAAATATATTTTATTGATTTTATACAGAGAGGAAGGGAGAGAGAGAGAGAGAGAGTTAGAAACATCGATGAGAGAGTGTCATTGATCAGCTGCCTCTTGCACACCCCCTACTGGGGATGTGCCCGCAACCAAGGTACATGCCCTTGACCGGAATCGAACTCGGGACCCTTCAGTCCCCAAGCCGACGCTCTATCCATTGAACCAAACCAGTTCCGGTGCCAAATTCTTTTAAAAGTTATACAAGTGACACATGCCCCTGGGAGGGAACTCAAAGGGGTTTCCAGGGCCCCTGCCCAGGGCCACCCCATCAGCGGCTTCTCAGCCTTCCCGGCATTTTCTAGGCACAGACAAGATTGCGTGGGTTTCACTTTTATTATTATTTTATTTTATTTATTTATTTTGAAATATATTTTATTGATTTTTTTTACAGAGAGGAAGGGAGAGAGATAGAGAGCTAGAAACATCGATGAGAGAGAAACATCGACCAGCTGCCTCCTGCATACCCCCCACTGGGGATGGAGCCCGCAACCAAGGTACATGCCCTTGACCGGAATCGAACCTGGGACCTTTCAGTCTGCAGGTGGACGCTCTACCACTGAGCCACACCGGTTTTGGCATGTGTTTCACTTTTAAATGCACCTGCCCTGACAGCAGCAAACCGTGCGTGCTGTTCTGCACCTTGCTTTCTTCACCCCAAAAGTGGTTTTAGACCTCCAGGCCTGCTTCCTGCTTTGTGTGGCTGCATAGCACTCCACTGTATGGGTGTACCGGCTTCTCTTTAACCACTAAAAAGGCCCAATGCAAGAAGATTCAGAAATAGGCCTTCCTTCCCCTGGCTGCCGGCACCACCTTCGCTCCGGGCCACAGCTGCCTTCTGCCTCTTGCCTTGTTACGTCAATTTGTATATTCCCTCCTTATTGGCTGTGGGGGCTGGCGTCTTTGTCGCGGAGTTACGGTCAATTTGCATATCCCATCTTTATTAGCTAGGATGCTGTACACAGTTAGGTGTGCTTCCACTCTTTTACTGCAAGCAATAGCCTGTACGGGCGTCATTTCGCCACAGGCAAGCAAATGTGAAGGATAATTCTGTGGGAGATGAAGTTGCTGGGCCAAAGGATACATGCATTTAAAATTGGTGTGCCTCAATGGTTGATCATTGACCTATGAGCCAGGAGGTCACAGTTCGGTTCCTAGTCAGGGTATATGCCTGGGGTTGTGGGCTTGATTCCCAATGTGGGGGGGGGGGGCATGCAGGAGGCAGCCAATCAATGATTCTCTCTCATCATTGATGTTTCTGTCTCTCTCTCTCCCTTCCTCTCTGAAATCAATACAAATATACACAAAAAATAAAATAAAATTGGGCTGGGTACTGACCATTTCCCACCCTGGCAGTGGGGAAAGAGCCTGAGGGGCACCTGCAGGGGGTAGGGGTGGAGGTGGGGAGCCGGAGCTCCCTGCTGGCGCCTGAGCAGTAGCCTGAGACTTGTCTACGGAGGCGGGGGAGGGAGGCCGTGGCCTTGGGGGCTGGAGGCCTGGGCTCTGGTCTGCCTTCTGGCGGGCTTGCTGTCTGCCTTGGGCATCACTTCCGCCTCGACATGGCTACTCTCTCTCACCCGCAGGCTGATGGCGTGGCTCCTGCACAGGCTGCAGATGGCCCTGCCGCAGCCGGTGCCCCGTGGGAAGGCTGCGGAGCAGGTGGGCGCTGGGCCAGGGGAGGGAGGGCCCGGATGGGGGGCAGGAGTGGCGTGGTTGGTCTGTGTCTCAGGGGGGCCATCATGCAGAAGGAAGAAGGGCGCCAGCCACAGGACTCCAGCCCGCCCAGCTCACCCGTCTGCCCCGCCCCGCCATTCTGCACTCCCTCAGGCCCCGTGTCTATGGGGCTCAGGGGGCCGGCTCAGCCCTGCCTGTGAGAGGTCACAGTCGGAGGGGAGGTGCTACTATGGTGGAGCAGAGAGGATGAGGGGTGCAGAGGAGGAGCCGCCCGGGAGCAGGACGGAAGGCTCCCCGGTGGAGGTGGCCTGCGAGCTGAGCCCCGGGGAGGAGGAGGAAGTGGGTGGGTGGCAGTGAATGTGGGTGATTGGAAAGGCCCAGCATGTGTGGAGGCCGGAGGTCAGAGGTCAGAGGTCAGAGGTGAGGGCTGGCATGCTCTGGGAAGAATGGGGCTGCAGGAAGCCCGAGGCTCTGCGTGCCTCCTCCTGACAGCCAATGTGGGTGGGTTTGGGGAGCAGGACCCGAGCTCCTCTTCCCCTGGTCCTTCTCTCCTGGGGACAACTGGACACCTTCACAGAAGCACCTGGAGCTGGGGTGGGCGCCCTGGATCCCGGCCTGCCGGGGTAGGGGGTGGAGAGCGCCTGGAGCAGAGCCGACCTCGGAGGCAGGAGAGGAGAGGCAGGGAAGCCCGGAGCAAGGGGATCTTCTGCGAGTGCTGGCGGCGGAGGGGGTGGAGGGAAGGGGATGGAGAGTGTCCTGCTGGGAGAAAGTCTCTTGGAAGTGGAGAAGCCGGTGGGGAGGCCACATGGTTTTCCCCTTTTTCCCCCGTGCAGGAGCCTGACTCCTCCGGGACGTGTGACGTGCAGACCAGTAAGTGACAGGGTGGTGGGTGGTCTCGTGCCTCTCTGGGGGGGTTGCTGGGCCACGGGGTGTCCCCTGCCGGGCCTGCACTGGTGCGGGGGCACAGTCAGGGTTTCCTGAGGGAGCCCGTGCTCCAGAGGCCCCGCCTCAGTCCGTCTGGCCAGGGAGCCCAGCCCGGCCCAGAGCAGATGGGGGCTGGAGGCCCTGCTGGGGCTAGGGAGAGGGGGGAGGGGATGGACTTGAGCGTCCATGCAGAGGAGCCGGTCCCGCTGGGACCCCCTGAGAGCTCCTCACTGCCCCTGGCAGCTGGGCCGGGGGTTTAGCTGAGCAGAGTCCCTGGTTGAGGGGTGAGGGGAGGCGGACAGGGACCTGGAGCCCTCAGGCTTCAGCTGCCTTGAGCTGGGAGGGTATCCCTCACCTGTGACCTGGTTGGCAGGTGAGTGTGTTGCCTTTTGTCTCAGACCTGCATCAGGACTGGGGAGAGGCTGAGGCAAGAGGGATGGGCCAGGGTGCAAAATCTGCTCGTCTTTCATTTTGTGGGCTCAGGAAAGGCCTGTGAAGGACAGGTCATCCATTCATCCATCTATCCACCTACTCACCCACCCACCCATCTATTCATCTATCCATCCATCCATCCATCCATCCATCCATCCATCCATCCATCTATCCATCCATCCATCCACCTACCCACCCACCCACCCATCTATTCATCCATCCATCCATCCATCCATCCATCCACCCACCCACTCATCCATCCATCCATCCATCCATCCATCCATCCATCCATCCACCTACCCACCCACCCACCCATCTATTCATCCATCCATCCATCCATCCATCCATCTACCCACCCACCCACTCATCCATCCATCCATCCATCCATCCATCCATCCATCCATCCGTCTGCTCATGTAAAGGAGGGCCTGCTCACACATGTAAAGGAGGGCCTGCTATGTGCCAGGCCTGTCATGAATGCTAGAGGTGGCAAAGCGGTGATCTGGCCCTGAGGGCGGTGGCCCTATCCACCTGGATCCGGGCCCTGGGACTGTGGGTCTCAGGGCCTCCCAGGGCTGCTCTCACCGTGTCTGTGAGGCTGCGGCCAACCTGTCCCACTAGGCCGGTGGTGGCCTATATGAGAACCTCGAGGCAGGGGACGGCCGCTGTGACCTGGGCACAGACAGGCCAGCTGACCGTGGAGCTGGGGTCTGACAGAGCCGCTGTAGGGGGCGATGGGACCTGTGTAATTGTGATGACTTTGGAAGGAGAGGCCTCAGAGCAGGACTCACCCAGTCTCATGGAGCTCATGGCTACCCTGGGGGACACAGAGCAGGGACCCCCAGGCTGTCAGGACAGGGACCCCCAGGCTGTCAGGACAAGGTCACCGGGCAAGTTCTCATGGACTTTCAGAGACTAGAGTCCATGTGGCCTGGCCGCAGCTTCTCGGTCAGGCTGAGGTTAACGCTCGGAAAATGTGCCCTGGGACAGAGACCCCTCCCTTGGGTTGAGAGCTTTGAGGGTGGGACCCCTGGCTCCTCTTTTCCCCCCTAAAGACAGAAGAAGGGAGAGGAAGAGAGAGATAGAAACATCACTGTTGAGAGAGAAACATCATTGATCAGCTGCCTTCTGCACACCCCACACTGGGGGTGGAGTCCGCAACCCGGACATGTGCCCTGACCGGGAATCGAACGTGACCTCCTGGTTCACAGGCCAATGCTCAACCACTGAGCCACCCTGGCTGGCCCCATTGGCCCCTCTTTACCTTCTCTCTGCTCCTCTGGAGGGAGGAGGATTCTCAGCCAGCCATGCACAGAGCGTCCCTGTGTGCGGGAGCGTGGGAGTCAGGGGTCGGCAGAGGGCGCTGGGGCCGCCATGGGGCAACTCAACACCCCTCCCAGGAATCCGGGGGCCTCCAAACAGCAGAACTGTACCCTCCCCCAGCTTACGGGGCCAGAAGTCCAAGGACAAAGTGCTGGCAGAGCTGGCTCCTACTGGGGCTCCGAGGGGCACACACCATCCATGCCTCTCTCCTGGCTTCAGGTGGCTGCGGGCACTCCTTGGTGACCCCAGCTTGCACCTGCCTCCCCACCTGTGCCTCCCCCTCTGTTTTCTCTCAAAGGGGTGCTAGGCATTGGATTCGGGGCCCACCCTAACCCAGGATGATGTCATCTCGAGATCCTTAACTAGCGACCTCCGTAAAGACCCTTTTCCCAAATAAGGTCACATTCACAGGGGTCAGGAGTAGGGATTGAGTTATGTTTTGGGGGCTCCTGGAGGCTGGGGATGTGTCCCCCTACTCCCCAGTCTGCCCCCAGCCTCCCCAGCCTTCACCCACTCAGGCACTCACTCATTCAGCCCCTCCGCCGGGCCACCCGGCCACCCACCCTCTGTCTTCTCCTTTGTTTCAGGGGTGGCAGCAGCAGGAGGCCTCTGAAACAGGGGAGAAGGGAGCCTGGGAGAGCACAGAGGGACAAACAGACGGACGGATGGAAGGGAAGAAAGGTGTCCGAAGAGAAGACCTGCAGGGGCGGGGATTGATTGGCCATTGACACCCCCCCCATCCTCCTTGAACAGTGAGGGGGGATCCCAGTCCCTCCCCATCCCTGTCCCAGAGCTGCCTGTCGGGGACACGGGCTAGGCCCTGCCCACCAGAGCAGAGGGAGGTCAGGGGGACAGCCTGTGGCATTGAGGCTGAACAGCAGGAATCCCCCCGCAGGCTGGGGAAGGCCACCAAGGACGTTCTCAGCACAGGGCCTGCCACAGCGTTGGTGTCCCCGTGGACACAGGTTTTCCCAGATGCTCTTCTGAGGCTGGGCCCAGAGGGTGGGGACCGCCGTGGACAGCAGCAGATGCTTCCATTGACATTAAGGAGCATAAGCAGCCAAGCTGGCACGGCTCAGTGGTTGAGCATCGACCTATGAACCAGGAGGTCACGTGCACATGCCCGGTCAGGGCACATGCCCGGGTTGTGGGTTCAATCCCCAGTAGGGGGCGTGCAGGAGGCAGCTGTTCCATGATTCTCTCTCATCATTGATGTTTCTTCTCTTTCTTTCTCTCTCTCTCTCCCTTCCTCTCTGAAATCAATAAAAAACATACGTAAGTCACCATTCGTCATGCATGCTTGGCGTGAGGGCCACCTGAACCCCTGGGGCTTTTTGGAAACCCCAAGACCCTGGCAAACCTCCCCCTTTCTTCCTCTCTCCTGCCTGGGGGTGGGCTTACGTTCCCGATGAGTCTCCCCTGGACCCACTTCCGCCAAGTTCACGGCCCCACAGAGTTTTCACGGTATGGGGCCAGGGCACGTGGAGAAATGTTGCAAACTGCAGATTCTCTCCGAAAGTGGCACCACCTTTATGAGAAAGCTGGCTCCTGGGGGGCAGTGGTGGGCAAACTCATTCGCCCACAGAGCCAAATACCAACAGGACAACGATGGACAATTCTTTGGAGAGCCACATTTTTTAAACTTAAACTTCTTCTAGAGCCACTTCTTCAACATAGACTCGCCCAGGCCGTGGCATTTTGTGGAAGAGCCACCCTCCAGGGGCCAAAGAGCCGCATGTGGCTCTGGAGCCACAGTTTGCCAACTGACCACTCCTGGCCTTGTGGGGTGGAGCCTCTAGGTCCAGGAAGGAGGAAAAGATGCCCCGGGGGCAGGTGCTGAGCTTACAGGTGTGCAGTGTGCTGTCACCAGGGGGCGGCATCGAGAGAGCAGGCCCTGGGCAAGCTTTCTCTGCATCGCTGGGCCTCTCAGGCTCCCTGCCCCAGGCATGCAGGTGGGCCTTGGGTCTCTGAAACAGGGGAGAAGGGTGTCCTGCAGGGAAGACCTGCAGGGGCGGGGAATGAGCGGCCATTGGACCCCCCCCCCCCCCCCCCCCCCCGCAGCATTGTTGCTGCTTCTGCACAGACGCCAAGGAGAGACAGAGACCAGCTCTGATGGAAGCTCTGTCTCCAGAAATCGAATGGCAGGAGACAGGGTGACTGATGGCGGGTTGCAGCCCATCCCCGCTGACCACGGTGCCGGGTCCGCTGCTGGGCTGAGGCCAAGGCTCCCTGGGTGGCCCCTGGGACTGAGCCCCACGCCCACTGTCCCCCACGCTCTGTGTCCCCTGCAGTCCGCATCCTCCCGGGAGGGCCGGAGGAGCCCGAGGATCTCATTCTGGAAGAGGTCGACCCTCACTGGGAGGAGGACCTGCCGGGGGACGGCAGTGCCAGCCCGCGGGGCGCCGAGGCCCTGGCGTCCGCTGACGAGGAGGAGGAGGAGGAGGAGGAGGAGGAGGCCGGGGCAGAGACGGCCAGGTGGGAGCCTGGGAGGCCCTGAGCAATGACTGGGAAGGTAACAGGCACGTAGGGCAGAGCCTCGAGGACTTACAAGGGCGCAGAGAGTGGACCAAGCCTGCCTCTCCTCCCTCCTCTCCCCAGACACCCATCCCTTCCCACGTTCTTCTGTGCCATCCCAGGGGCCACCGGAGCACATGCAGGCGTGGACTCCACCTTTTTTATTTTTATTTTTATTTTTCACAAAGCATAGCTGCCTCACAGCACTTTGCTATATTCACTTAGCATTCTATCTTTTTTTTTTTTTTTTTTAAAAACACATTTTATTGACTTTTTACAGAGAGGAAGGGAGAGAGGGATAGAAAGTTAGAAACATTGACCAGCCGAAACCGGTTTAGCTCAGTGGATAGAGCATCGGCCTGTGGACTAAGAGGTCCCAGGTTCGATTCTGGTCAAGGGCATGGACCTTGGTTGCAGGCACGTCCCCAGTAGGGGGTGTGCAAGAGGCAGCTGATCGATGTTTCTCTCTCATCGATGTTTCTAAATCTCTATCCCTCTCTCTTTCTCTCTGTGAAAAATCAATAAAATATATATAAAAAAAAAGAAAAAAGAAAAGAAAAGAAACATTGACCAGCTGTCTCCTGCACACCCCCCAATGGGGATGTGCCCGCAACCAAGATACATGCCCCTGACCGGAATCAAACCTGGGACCCTTCAGTCTGCAGACCAACGCTCTATCCACTGAGCCAAACTGGTTTCGGCTAGCAATCTATCTTGAGATCTTTCCACCTTCAGTACATAGAGATTGCTCATACTTAAAAATAAATAAATAAATAAATGCATCATATTCCGTCATACGGATGTGCCAGAATTGATGTAACCTGTCTATTATTGATGGGCACTTAGGTTGGTTCCAAAAATGTGTTATTGAAAGGAATTCTGCAACAAACATGCTTGTGCACACCTGTGAGTGTGTCCGCAGGGGGTCTCAGGTCCCCAGCCCCCGCCCCACATTGCACAGTTGGGGGGGGGAGAGAAACTGAGGCCCAGAGAGGATCAGGGGCTGAGACAGGCCCCTGTGCCATGAAGAGACAGGCCTTGCTGTTAGCGAGCGCCTGAGGCTCCTTGGGCGGGGGCTCCCAGGCTGATTCTTGGTGGAGGGGTTCAGGTCTGATCTCAAGGGGTCCCGGGACATCTTCCTGAAAATTGGGGCAGGAGGTGCATCTTCAGGGGGGGCTTACCTCTTGCCTCTGATCTCATTTCAGGGAGTTTCCCTGGATTCCAGAGGACAGAGAAGATGAGGAGGATGGGGAGGAAGAGGAAGAGGAGGAGGAGGAGGAGGAGCCTGGGTAAGGCACTACGCTCTTGGCTAAGAAGTGGCCTGGGGAGGTGGGGTAGAGGTGATAATTCTCTGGGTGCCATATTGCGGAAGGCCTTGAATTGAATGTCCTGGGAGCCACGGGGAGCCATGGAAGGTCGGTGAGCCAGGGAGGGGCATGACCTGGCAGCGCATTGTGGGGAGATGGAGGCAGGGAAGAGCCTGTTATCCCATCAGGCCAGCCTGATTGGACGGGCCCCTTTGCTCCACCCCCTGGCACTATTCCCTGGCACTCTGCCCTCCGTGGTACCCCCTGGCCCACACCCTTCTCCCTGACCGGCCCTCCGGCCGTAGCCTGGGGCAGGGCATCCCCATGAGTGTTAGGGGCACAGGCTGTGCCGCTCGGAGGGGCCAGGGCATCCCCGCCCAGAGCTTCTCCCCACGCCCGTCCTGCAGGGTGGCCGTGGGCCCGGATGTCCGAATCCCCACCGAGGGCCGGTTTTAGTCCCTGCCAGGAACGTGTTAAACCCCGAGGCCAGCACAGGAGCCCGCTCAGTGTCACCCACCATTAGTCTACCCTCTCCCAGGCCGCATACAATCTCTTCATCCTCGGCCAGAGGCCACACAGCTGCCTGCTTCCCTCCGATGATGGGGAGCTCACCACCTCGAAGAGGCTGTGCCCTCCATCCGTACACCCTCCTGGCTTAGGACATTATTTCTCCCAGAAAACCAAGCGTGCTTCCTTTGGCTTCTGTCACCTGGTCCTAAGTCTGCCCTCTGGGCCCCCGGGCCAGGCTGCTGTCACGGATAGGTGGCCTGAGAACCCCTTTCTGTGCCATGGCTCCCGAGCGAAATAGGCCCTGAGGCCAGTGACCCAATGGGCTAACTGCACGTGTCCTCACGCACACAGGTAACACCCATGCCTGCACTGTCACGCACACCAGCACACAGGCACAGACACACAAGTCTGCATACCTACACAGCACACTCAACACACACACACACATGTTCACATGTGTGTGCTCACAGACACACATGTACACACTTAGCAGATGCCCACCGGGCACCCAGCACGCATGCTCATGCACACAGCACATGCAGCCACACACACACACACACACACACACGCGTACACAAGCGTGGACCCTGAGTTTCAAACTCGGGGGAAGTTTCGGGCCCGGGCCTCCAGCAGGGGTGGGGGTTCTGTGGTGAGAGAGCACGTGATCCCAGAGGCGGGGCCACAGGGGTCTGGCGTGGGCAAGCGGCCTGGCTGTCACTGGTGGGGGAAGGAGGCTCTCGGCCAGCTTCGCGGAGGCCCAGGGGTGACTGATGATGCTGGCAGACGGTTGCCTAGCGACCAGGTCTCTGCCAGCAACAGCTCGGCTCTTCCTAGCAACCGCAGCCTTTGGGTCCCCACCTGGCCTCCCTGGGGGCGCCGCTGCAGAGTCACCCGCACAATCTGATTAGAAGCAGGAAGAGCTGGTGGCTCACCCGCCACCCAGGTCTCACTGGCTCCGGAGCCAGTCCGGCAGGCGGGCACAGGCTGGCAGGCTCAGGCTCAGGCTGGTAGGCTGTCCGGTCCTCCACTTGTCTGCGCTGCCTTGGGCCCCGGGATACATGGCACTGCCCCCCGCTGAGCTCCTGCACCATGGCTGTCCCAGTCGGCAAAGCCCGTGAGAACCAAGTAGGTGGCTGCTCCTCCTGAGGGCTCCCCGTTCCTCCTTTTGGGGTTGGGGTGCCGTGAAGAGTCTGCAGAAGGTGCTGTGAGGACCTTCACTGGGGGACTCGGGGGAGAAGGGGGCTGGCAGACCCTGGCAAACTGCCTCCCTAGGCTCCTCCCTGCACCTTCAACCCTTCCACTTAGAGAGCCAGCGCTGGGTGGGGTGGGGGGCGGGAAGAAGGGGGGAGAGGCTCCTCTGGGATGCCCACCTTAGCCAGTCTCTCTGACCCTCCATTTAAAGTTCCCTGGGATTTGGGAACCTTCCAGAAGGTGACAGCCTGCTGCTTCTGGGACCTGCAGTCAGGGGTCTTGGCAGGCACTGAGCACCCTGCGGGCCAGAGGCAACCACAACTGTGGGTCCCCAGGTCCCCAGACAGCCCCTGGGGTGCCAGCAGGGCCACCGCAGGGCCGGCGAGGCGTCTCCGTGGCTGGAGATGTTTGTGCAAAATGCTCCCCAATCCACGTGGGCATCTGTTGTGAACACTGGACCGCGCCCTCCTGTCACACCCAGAGGACGGCTCCTGAACCGCCCCGCACACCTCCCTTTGCACATGCCGTTCCCCCCTCCCCCGGACACCCTTCCTCCCATTCCTCGTGGGTCATGCTATGTCATCCCTGAGGGTCAGCTCCCAGGCCGCCTCCTCCGGGAAGCCCTCCTCCCTAGGCCGGACTGTGGCCGTGGCCTTCCCCGCCCCCCTCGTGTCTCAGACCGGGGGGTCGTCAGCAGGACACGCGCCCGCCGCCTCCCTGAGTGGGAGTCTCACGGGGGGAGGGCCTATTCGAGGGCATCTCGGTGCCCCGGCTCCCAGCACTGAGCTGGCACTCAGCCCTGACCCCAGCCTCCTCCCCTCGGGGTCACAGGGTCCTGCTGGATAGCTGTCTGGTGGCCGTGGCCGGCGAGGACGCGGGCGGCATAGACAGGACGGTCACCCGGAGGGCCTCCTGCCAGGTAGGGCTCGGCCCCGGGCCTGGCCCTGGGTGCCCTGGGGGTGGGCTGGCCCCGGTGGGAGGGGCTGGGACCTGGGCTCCCTCGTCTATGGGGGGTTTTCAGCGTGTGGGATGCCCGTCAGACAGAGGGAGCAGGGTGGTGGGACGGCAGTGCCCTGCTGGACCCGGGGTCTGATGGTGTGAGGAGGGGCCTCCGGGGGAGTGGGTGGGGAGCCGCTGGACCCGCCCTTCCGTCCTCACGTGGCTGTGTGACCCTGGGCTGGTCACCACCCCACACTGGGCCTCAGCGGCCACCTCTGTGAAATGGGGCCAACCCCGCCCCCTGCAGGCGGTGCGCAGTTGTGCGCTGTGAAGTGAGGTGCCCGTGGGGAGGGCTGTGGTGGCTGCTTTGTGCCTGTGTCCCCACATGCACAGGTGTGTGTGTGTGGGGGGGGTGGGGGGAGGCCTGGGGCTCCTGTACGCACTGCCTCTACCAGTGGGAGACCACCTGCCGCGGTGCCCCAGGAGACGGGCTGGACAGGGCTAGGGTGGGGGCGTGGCTTTGCTGGTCTCAGCTTCTGTTCCCACTGTCTGTTTTGCAGGAGGAAGCCGCAGCCGCCAGCTCAGGAGGTAGGTGGGGGGGGGGGCGCGGGGGTGGAGGGGAAGGTTGCAGAGAATGTGCAGGGTCACCCCACCTCCTCTCCCTCCATCTCCACCATCCCTGTCCCCCTCCACCTGCCCCATCCTCAGGCAAACCACCCACAGCGCCTGGGGCCACATTTTCTTTCTTTCTTTTTTAAAAAATATATTTTATTGATTCTTTACAGAGAGGAAGAGAGAGAGATAGAGAGCTAGAAACGTCAATGAGAGAGAAACATCGACCAGCCGCCTCTTGCACACCCCCTACTGGGGATGTGCCCGCAACCAGCGTACATGCCCCTGACTGGAATCGAACCCGAGACCTTTCAGTCTGCAGACTGACGCTCTACCACTGAGCCAAACTGGTTTTGGCTGATTCTGACGTGTTTTGAGTCTGAGGTGGAAAATGCTCCCGGGGGTTGGCTAACAGAGTGCAAGGCGTTAGGGGCTACAGGCTGTCTCTCGGAGCCGTGGGGAGAGCCGGCCACAGTGCGTGGTGATGCATGTGACAACGAGCTCCAGGGACGAGGGTGATGCTCCAGATTTTGGGAGCAGGTGCAGCTGGGTACTGGGCTGGCCTGAGTTGGTGCTAATGGGGGGACCCCACTCCCCTGCCTCTCCCAACTCTGTGCTCCTCATTGCAGTCCCCAGGGTCCCGCCTCTGCCTGAGAGCCCCCTGCCCCAGCACCATGGCTACCCTCGGCCGGGACAGGGAGCCGAAAGGCCAGGTCCAGGACCAGCCGCCTGGCCAGGTGGTCCCCAGACTGGCCCCCCTAAACCCGGCAGAGCACCTCCCCAATGTGCCCAGCTACTGTCCCCCCATCACCCGCATCCCTGTCCTCGTCTCCCGGAGGACGGCCTTGTCCAGCTCCAGCTTCGCCAAGGAGACCAGGAGCTCTGTCCGTCGCCTAGGTAGCGTGGTCCCACCCTCCCAGCCCAGCATGCTCTTGCACCCGCGCCGTGTGCTTCTGCATGGCTTGGGCTGTGTCCCAGCGTGGCTGCTGTGGCCAGCATGGGGACCACTCGCTGGGCTCGTGGGAAACCACCCCATCCTCTGCCTGCCTCCCTCATGCTTTGTGGTGACGTGAGGGGTATTGGTATGCCTTTACTAAAATCTCACAACGGAGTTTTGAGTGGACTAAGGAGTTTGCCGACCACGGCTCCAGATCATCGTCATTGGTACAAATAGTCACTCACACCTAGTGTGAACAAGCCACTCGGGTCTCCAGGCCCAGAGCAGAGGCGTGGGGCAGGGAGCTGGGCGGGGGAAGAGAGAGGATGAGTGGAAGGCAGATGGAGCAGGGGAGACACACTCTTCTGACCTTGAGAGCTGGCCGAGAGTTGGGGTCCCTGAGGACCGCGGGCATCCGCCCGGCAAATCCCACGTCAGGGAAGGAGCGGCGGCAGGTGCCGGCAGGCGGAGCAGGCGGCGTGGCCTCCCCGGGGGCCTGGGCAGAGGCGGCCGCCTGGGTCTGCTCCGGCGCCCTCCGGGGCGTGCAGGCTGGCTGTGTGCTGTCTGGTGATAATGTGCTTGGGGGCATACTGACCCCTCTGGGCTGGCCCCTGCCATTTCCTGCCTTAGCTCCAGCCAGACCCGCCCACTCTCCCTTTCTGTGTGTGTGTGTGTGTGTGTGTGTGTGTGTGGCTGGCACGGGGGAAGGCTGCCCTGAGCTCAGGAAGCAGGGAGCACGGAGCGTCTCCCGCTCCTAACGCGGGGCGGGCAGAGCAGGGGGAGGTGGCACCTTCTGACAAGGGTGCCACCCAGCTCCCGTCTTCTGGGCGAGCCCGACACCCACTCACTCCAAAGGGTCCCCCACTCCGGTCTGGTGCCAACTCTGCTTTTATTTACTTACTGTTTTTTCCTTTTTAATTTAAGGAATTGCGTTTATTTATTTATTTATTTATTTTTAAATATATACACAATATATATTATTGATTTCAGAGAGGAGGGGAGAGGGAGAGAGAGAAACACCAAGGATGAGAGAAAAAAACCATGGATCGGCTGCCTCCTGCAGGCCCCCTGCTGGGCATCGAGCCTGGCTCCCAGGCCTGTACCCTGACCGGAACGGAGCCGTGACCTCCTGGTTCCTAGGTGGACGCTCCACCACGGAGCCACGCTGCTGGGACTTACTGAAGTGTATCTAAGCAGGAGAATTGCCGTTTCTATAAACATGAACGCCGGCGTGCCTTGCCATAATGGAAGGCACACATAGAAAGAACCACGAAGACACCGAAAACAAAGCGATGCTGGCAGTTTTCAGGGGCACGGGCCAGCTGGTGGGGGCTCGGGCGGAGACCTGCTCTCCGGGCACAGAGGGGAGGACAGGGGGTCACTCAGGTGGAAGCCAGCGCGGCACTAGCCCGAGACGTCCTCTCCGGACTCAGAGAGCGCTGGGCGAGAGGAATGCCCTCGTTCTGCGCTGTCCTTTGCCTGCTCTGTGCCACCCGGTCATCCCGTGCCCTCCCTGGCCCCGGGGAGCCCCACACTGGGAGAAACATTCCCAGTGACACAGTGCGACAGAGGGCACTGGGCCCCGCAGGCCCGGGGGTGGGGAAGGGAGGCTGGGTGGGAGGACCAGTCTCAGGATGTGGGGCTTGGCACCGGGCCTCTCAGAGGCTGGTGAATTTGGGGGGCTCCTGGCACGTAGAAAAGCAGGGAAATACCTTTGCCCGGCCAGTGTGGCCCAGTGGTTGAGCCTCTCACCCATGAACCAGCAGGTCACGGTTTGATTCCCGGTCGGGGCACAGGCCCGGGTGGTGCGCTCCGTCCCCAGTGTGGGGCGTGCAGGAGGCAGCCGATCCAGGATTCTCTCTCGTCATTGATGTTTCTCTCTCTCTCTCTCCCTCTTCCTTCCTCTCTGAAATCAATAAAAATATATTTAAAAACAAAGAAACACCAAATCGGGTCCCCCAACAGCAGTAACGCTCATTACAGAGACAGGCTGCTACCCTTGCCTGGAGGACACTCCACATATTTCCATGGAGGCTGCCTTCTCCTCCCACCCCCAGGCCTGGGAAGGCATCCTTTCCCCTTCCTTGGAATGGGGAAACTGAGGCCCAGAGAAGGGAAGCAGCCGAGCCAGGCTGTGCTGGGCCAGGCGCTAGGCCAGTCTCCGCCCCCCCCCCCCCCCCCATCGCCATGCCTTCCTGAGGCTGTAACCCCACGCCCTGCCTCCCTGGCTGCTTGATGCTTCCCGGGCCCAGGGAATGCAGGTGGGCGCTGGAGACCTGGACTCCAGGCCGTGTCCTGTGGCTTCTGTGGCATCACAGCTGCCTCTGTGGGTCCTGGGCTGGTGGCTGTGGCTGTGTGGCCCCCGGAGGCCTCTGGGCTCTGGGCCTTGCGTCTTGTGCATCCTGCATGGAGCTCCGTGTGGGGCCTTGGGAGGTGGCTGCCAGGGGCTGCTCCGAGCCTGCGTCTGTGGCCTCTCTCTCTCTCTCTCCCACCCTCTCTCTCTCTCTCTGTGTCCTCTCCTTCCTCTCCCCCAGTGCCTGCCACCAAAGAGCACCCGGAAGTGCAGGTGGAAGACACCGATGCTGACAGCCGCCCCCCCATCGCGGAGGACAAGCCGCCCTCACCGGAGCCGCTGCCGCCTTCTCCTGCCAAGTCCGACACCCTCACAGTCCCGGGGTCTGCCGCGGGAACCCGCAGGTCAGCTTTCATGCTCCTCACGGGCTCTCCGCAGCGCGGGGCCACCTGCCCGTTTGGCAGATGAGGAGACTGAGGCCAGGGAGGGGGCGCAGCTGGCCTGAGGTCACCCCTCGAGGTGGGGTCAGAACCGGGACTGCGCCCTCCCTTGCTGGCTCTCCTAATTCTCTGCCAAGAGGTCTCCAGGGAAGCCCGGTCCCCGCCACCCTCAGCTGCATGCTGGACGCGGGTGGGATGTGACAAGCCTGAATTCTAACTCCCCTTTTAAAAAATGTTTTTAAAAACCGTTTTTATTGATTTTAGAGAAAGGAAGGGAGGGGGAGAGAGAGAGAAACATCAATGAGAGAGAATTATTGATTGGCTGTCTCCTGCACGCCCCCTATTGGGGATGGAGCCCACAACCTGGGCACGTGCCCTGACCGGGAATTGAACTGTGACCTCCTGGTTCATGAGTCGATGCCCAGCCCCTGGGCCACGCTGGCCGGACGAGGGCAGTGACTGCAGACTGGGACGGGAAGGGAGAAGATGTTTAGGCCGACGCCTGGCTGAGAGGCCAGTGTCTCATTGCGTCGGGTGGATGTAGGCCCATTTTACAGAAGGGGAAACCAAGGTGGCACAGAGAGGTTAAGCCACTGGCTGAGGTCACACACCGGGAGGAGGCAGGGCTGGGTGCGAACTCAGGTTTGCCTGAGACCAAGGCTCTGCCTCTGAGCCATTGAACCGAGTGGAGCCTGAGGTCAGAGAGCAACTGCGAACCGCCCCTCCCCCTTTCTGTGTCCCTGCGGGGAAGTGAGGTCCCCTGGGCCCAGCATCTCCTGTCCCATCCCCACCCGGGATTTGGCTCTTGGTGATCTGCGAGGGGCCGGCCGGCTCCCCGCCCCCAGGCCTGCCCTCGCCGAAGGCCCCGCACATACTGTGTCCTTGCAGGAAGAGGTTGCCCTCCCAGGATGATGAAGCGGAAGAGATCCAGGAGCTGCCGCCGGCCGAGACCCCCGCGGTCGCCTGGTCCGACCCCCCCACCCCGCAGGGCACCGAGTGAGTGGGGGCCACCCCTGGGGCTTCGGGGAGTCAGAAGGCTGGATGCGGATGGGTGGCCTTTCTTTCTTTCTTTCTTTCTTTCTTTCTTTCTTTCTTTCTTTCTTTCTTTCTTTCTTTCTTTCTTTCTTCTTTCCTTCCTTCCTTCCTTCCTTCCTTCCTTCCTTCCTTCCTTCCTTCCTTCCTTCCTTCCTTCCTTTTTAAAAAATATATTTTATTGATTTTTTACAGAGAGGAAGGGAGAGAGATAGAGAGTTAGAAATGTCGATGAGAGAGAAACATCGACCAGCTGCCTCCTGCACACCCCCTGCCAGGGATGTGCCTGCAACCAAGGTACATGCCTTTGATCGGAATCGAACCTGGGACCCTTCAGTCTGCAGGCCGACGCTCTATCCACCGAGCCACACTGGTTTCGGCTTTGCTTGACGTTCCTGATGTCCGAAGGACTCACCTCCTTCCGGCCGGGGGGGGGGGGGGGCAGCTCTTGCCCGGGGCTCAAGGGTCCCTTCCCCCTCGGCCGGCTCAGCTTCGGTGGTGTTTCCATAGCGACCAGGACCGGGCGTCCTCCACCGCCAGCCAGAACAGTGCCGTCATCAACGAGCGGCTGCAGGAGCTGGTGAAGCTCTTCAAGGAGCGGACGGAGAAGGTGAAGGAGAAGCTCATTGACCCCGACGTCACCTCCGACGAGGAGAGCCCCCCGCCCTGTGAGTCCGGAGCGGGACGGTCCGCCCAGGAGGGGTGGGGTGGGGCCTGAAAGCCCTGCTGCCTCCTGGGGAGGGCGGCCCCCCCAATGACTGGGGTATTTGAGAGAAGGTGTGGATGGTGGGGTCCTGTCTGTACAGGGTGAGCTGAATACCCAGGGGAGGGAGGAAGGTCAACGTTCTGACCAAGGATCTAGTTGTCCTTGGCTCCCCTATCCCTCATGGACACTCCTTTTATTGTTATTAAATATATTTGTATTGATTTCAGAGAGGAAGGGAGAGGGAGAGAGAGAAACACGAATGATAAGAGAGAATCATGGATTGGCTGCCTCCTGCATGTCCCCGACTGGGGATCAAGCCTGCAACCAGGCATGTGCCCTGATGGGAACCAAACTGTGACCTGGTTCATAGGTCAATGCTCAACCACTGAGCCACACCTGGCCAGGTGACCCTTCTGTCTTTAAAAAAAAAAAAAATTATATAGATATAGATATAGATATAGATATAGATATATTACTGATTTTTTACAGAGAGGAAGGGAGAGGAATACAGAGTTAGAAGCATCGATGAGAGAGAATCATCCATCAGCTGCCTCCTGCACACCCCCTACTGGGGATGGGCCCGCAACCAAGGCACATGCCCTTGACCAGAATCGGAGCTGGGACCCTTCAGTCTGCAGGCTGATGCTCTACCCACTGAGCCAAACTGGTTAGGGCGACCCTTCTGTGTTTATCCACTGGCATCAGGTGGTCACCCTGGGGCGTAGCTCTCGGTCTCACACTCAGGAGGTGTCCGTAACTCACACTGGAATCAGACGGTCTTGTTCAGATGCCTCCCTCGCACTGCCCTCCTGGGGCTACCTGAGCGTCTCCTGCTTTCCAGGTGCCAGGAGGAAATATGGAATGTGCTCTGTTGCTGGGAGGCGGGGAGGGGTTTCCAGGTCTTTCCAAAGGAGGACCGTGCCTTAGAACTCATCCATCCATCTACTCATCCATCCATCCATCCATCCATCCATCCATCCATGCCTGCACTGAACCGGCAGAACCTGCCTTTGCAATCCTACTGCTAGGAACGTAGCCACATTGAACCTGTAAGAGCCTGTCTCTAGGTCACCCACCTCGCCATCCCCTGGCGGTGATCCCCTTCAGTGTCTTGTTTTAGAGACAAAGGAGCTGAGATTCCTGCTCTGAGGAACCTATAGCCGTGCTGCCCTGGGGTGGAAGTCCTGGGTCCGAGGCGCTCCCGGCCCTGCAGGGGGCACCAAAGGGAGCCAAACAGTTACACAAGCAGACACTCACCTGACACAGCAACTGGCCCAGAAGCGCCTCCTTCCGGCCGTTTCGGATGGGTGGCTGGGGAGCGAGTCTGGACTCTAAGGTGGCTGTGAGGAGGGCGCTCAGGGTTTTCCTCCAGGAGAGCTCCCTGGCGCCTGCCCGTAGAGCTGGGAGCAGAGCCAGGGTCCCTCAGCTCCAGTGAGGGGTCTGCAGCTGGGAGCCTTCTCTCTGCATCCTCTGCCTCAGCCTCAGGGCTGGGTCAGGGCGTCACCAGCACCATCCCACAGCTCCGGCCAAGCAGGCCCCGCAGCCGGCCACGGGCTCCGCGCCCGCCGGGGAGGCGCCAGCGCAGGAGGAGCACTACTGCGACATGCTCTGCTGCAAGTTCAAACGCCGGCCCTGGCGGAAGTGCGAGTTCCCCCGGAGCATTGACCCGCTGACCAGTGAGTGCCCGCTGGGCCGTGGGCATGGGCGCCACGGGACACGGGAGGACGGGAGAGCGGGCGGGGTGGAGGGGCTGAGCTGGAAGGAGGGCTGGGAGGCCGTGGACACCCAACACAAATGCACACAACCCTGGAATGGGAAGACAAGGTCACGGCCATCGGACAGACAAGGGGACAAAGGCACAGAGAAGGCCAGTGCCAACACTCACAGAGAGTGCTGGCGCCTGGGCTCCCGACTGCTGGCCGGGTCTCTCTGCTCAGCTCCTGCTGGCTCCTTCCTGGAGTGCTGCTCGGAGCAGAAAGGGGAAGGAGTTCTTCCCACATCGGAAGGGAATCCCCTCCTTTAGCCCATTTGATATCCCGCAGGAGTAACAGTCCTTCCTGTGTGCGCGGCTCTGCGCAGTTTACAATCTCTCTGTGGTTCTTATCTGACCTCCCTGTGTGACTTCTCTGAGGAGGGTCAGGCAGGGCAGGTGCCATAGAGGGACTTTCTCAAGGTCACACAAGCAGTCATTTGGGGGACACTGGTGTCCACGGGGCCTCTAAAAGGACCAGATGATCTATGGTATCCATCTATCCATCATCCATCCATCCATCCGTCCTTCCATCCATCCATCCATCCATCCATTCATCCATCATCATCCATCTACCCATTCATTCATCCTCCCATCCGTTCAACCATTCATCCATCCTCCCATCCATTTAACCATCCATCCATCCATCCATCCACCCATCCACCTATCCAACCATCCATCCATTCATTCATCCACCCACCTATCCATCCATACATCCATCCATCCATCCATCCATCCACCCACCCACCTATCCAACCATCCATCCATTCATTCATTCATCCACCCATCTGTCCATCCATCCATCCATCCATCATCCATCCACTCATCCACCCACCCTCCATCCATCATCCATCATCCATCCATCCATCCATCCACTCATCCACCCACCCTCCATCCATCATCCATCATCCATCCATCCATATATCCACTCATCCACCCACCCTCCATCCATCATCCATCATCCATCCATCCATCCACCCATCTATTCATCCATCCATCCATCCATCCATCTGTCCATCTTCTGTGCATTACTTCCTACTATGTATTTCCTAAGGCAGGAAGTCGATTTTACCAAGTTACAGGAGTGTCACACTTACACAGCGCTTACAGGAAAGTGCAGACAGACAAGTGGAGCAAAGAGAGCCCACCTGGCCGCCCTGGCTGAGGCTCTGCCCCCTTCCCCCCCACCCCTCCCGCCCCCGCAGACCTGATGTACATCCTGTGGCTGTTCTTCGTGGTGCTGGCCTGGAACTGGAACTGCTGGCTGATCCCGGTGCGCTGGGCCTTCCCCTACCAGACGCCGGGCAACCTCCACTTGTGGCTGCTGATGGATTACCTGTGCGACCTCGTCTACTTCCTGGACATGGCCGTGTTCCAGACCCGCCTGCAGTTCGTCCGGGGAGGGGACATCATCGTGAGCCACTGGCAGGCGGGGCGGGGGGCTGGGGGCTCCCTCTCCACACCTGGGAACCCGGAGGCTGTGCCCGGAGCTCAGCAGCTCCATTCTGGCTCCTCCCGGTCTAGGGGCTGCAGCTCTGATAGGAGGGTGGGGGAGGGCCATTAGGGACTGCCATGGCGGCTCCCCATCTCACGGCCATTATTCCATTTCCTTCCAGACAGACAAAAAGGAGATGCGCAATAACTACCTGAAGTCTCCTCGCTTTAAGGTGTGTGCCAGGGGTGAAGGTGGCACCTCAGGGGCCCTGGGTGCTCCAGGCAGGTGTAACGGGGTTCCCCAGGCTGGCACAGGCTGGGCAGACGGCAGCCTGTGGGTGGGAGGCCTCCTGGACCTCTGGAGCTCCCCTGTCTGCGGAGGGTAGAGGCCCCAGCCCAGCCTGGGGCTTCCCGTTGCACACACCGCGCTGCCGCTGGGGTTGCAGATGGACCTGCTCTGCCTGCTGCCCTTGGACTTGTTCTACCTGAAGCTCGGCATGAACTCCCTCCTGCGGCTGCCCCGCTGTCTGAAGGTAGGCCCTTCTCTGTACCAGCAGCACCGGGAGCGGGTGGGCGGGAGGGTGTCCGCCTCGCAGAGGCAGGGCGGGTCAGATCTGGGTTCGAGCCCTGGCTCTGCCACTGCCTGCCCGTGTGCTTCGGTGAGTGCTGGGGGCCCGTTTCCGCTCTGCAAAAGGAGGCTGCTGATATATACCGCACATGTAAACCACGGACCAAGGTAACATGTATGCAGCTATACAGATAGACACACATATAGACGGTATAGCTGACCTTGAACAGCACAGGAGTCAGTCTCTGCATGGGTCCACTTTTTAGATTTTTAAAAATGAATACATACAATATATTACTATAAATGTATCTTCTCTTCCTTATGACTTTAAAAAATATATATATTTTATTGGTTTTTTACAGAGAGGAAGAGAGAGGGTTTAGAGAGAGTTAGAAACGTCGATATGAGAGAGAGACATCGATCAGCTGCCTCTTGCACACCTCCTACTGGGGATGTGCTCGCAACCAAGGTACATGCCCTTGACCGGAATCGAACCCGGGACCCTTCAGTCCACAGGCTGACGCTCCATTCATTGAACCAAACCGGTTTCAGCAGGACTTTCTTAATAGTATGTTCTGTTCCCCAGCCTCCTTTTTGTAGAAATACAGTGTGTAACACACACAACGTACAAAGCATGTGTAAACCCGCTGGTTATGTTATCGGCAAGGCTTCCGGTCAAAGTGGGCTGTCAGTAGTTAAGTGCATGTGGGACTCAAACTTGTACACGGACTTCCGGCTGCACAGGGGTCCGCAGCCCCGCCCCCGCCCTCTTCCCTGCACAGAGCAGTGGTGGGCGGGGCTTGGCCCGGAGAGCGGCTGTGATGGTTACTTTGGTTGTAAGGAGGGGGTTAGGGCACGGCTCGCTGTGAGATTGTTTCCTAAGCTGACACTGACAAGCGTCCGTACCTGGGACACAGGTGCCCTCCAGGTCCATGATCAGATCCAGGAGATTAAACTGCCAGCACATGACGGCGTGTCATTCCCAGAGGCAGAGGGGCCACGGTTCCCATCGGATTAGTAGCTGGAGTCTCTGGCCCTGTCCCTCTGAGGACACGGGACCTGTGATTTCGAATGTCCCCGCTCCAGCCCCCTCCCGAGTCCTGGCGCCCAGGGCGGTGGGGGGGGAGGAGGGGGGAGAAACGGGGCTGTGGGGCGGGGGCGGGGCGTCCCCCACAGACCCCGGGCTGCCCTGTGTCCTGCTCTCCCTCCAGTACATGGCCTTCTTCGAGTTCAACAGCCGCCTGGAGTCCATCCTCAGCAGAGCCTACGTGTACAGGTGAGACACACGCCCACGGGCACACACACACACACATACACGCACACGCACATGCACACACACACACACGCACACACGCCCTCCGCCCCCGCTTCCCCCAGCCCGCAGGCCTCCCCCCGGCCGGAAGCTGGGCCCCTTCCTGCCCTCCTCCGAGGGGATGTTTGTGCTTTAGGGAAGCAGGCACGTCTCATTTCCCGCGATTGTGAGGAGGGCACACCTAGGCCGGCACGCATGGCTCACCCGTGTCTCCAGGGAGTGAAGCCTCATGTTGGTCTCAGATCGGGGAACGGACCCCCCCCTCCCCCGCCGCCCTGGCCCCATCGCTCAAACCCAGGGGGACCCGGAGCCAGGACATAGCGGGCCGTCTGGTGGATGTCCGAGGATGGCCAGCTGGGGCAGGCCCGGGGGCAGGGTCCTCCCCTTCTCTCCTGGGTTGGCCCTTCTGCACACACCTGTCCCTCCTCTGCCCTGGCCCATCACGCCCTGCCCAGGACAGTCTGTGCCAAACCAGCCCTGGTCATGACAGCGCTGCTCCGAGCCTCCACTCCCAGCGTGCGGTCTCCAAAGAGCGTCCGGTTGGCTCAGGTCACTGGCTCCCGCGCTGTCCCCACTGGCCGGTGACCGCCCCTGGGTGAGAGGTCACAGCCACCCCGCCCGTTGCCATGTTCACGCCTTTCCTCCCTGGCAGGGTTATCAGGACCACGGCCTACCTGCTCTACAGCTTGCACTTGAACTCGTGCCTGTATTACTGGGCGTCGGCCTATCAGGGCATCGGCTCCACCCACTGGGTGTACGATGGCGTGGGAAACAGGTGAGCCGGCCTTCCTCCCAGGCCGTGCCCCCCGCCCAGGGACTCCCTTACACAAGTCCCATCCCCGCATGCTCCCCCGGCCGGCCTCCTCCATCCCAAGGAACTCCACTGGGATGAGGTTGAGGGGCCGAGTCTGCCATCCTCGCTGAGCTAACATCCGAGCCCCTGCCACGTGCCAGGCAGAGGGGGCACAGCCATGAATGAGCCAGACCTGCTGGAGAGACCCTGCAGCGCCCCGGGGTCTGGCAGCGATGGCAGAGTCCCCGCATGTGTGCAATGGGGTGGGCACCCTAAGGGCACAGCAGGGCGGGAACGAGGGCACCAAATCGCAGCACAGCTCCCGGGCAAGGGCTGGGCAGCAAGGCAAAACCTACTTGCCCTTTTCGGCCGGCATGGCTCAGTGGTTGATCGTTGACCTTTGAACCAAGAGATCACGGTCGGATCCCCTGTTGGGCACATGTCCAGGTTGCGGGCTCCATCCCAGGTGGGGGTGTGTGTGCAGGAGGCAGCCAATCAACGATACTTTCTCATCATCGATGTTTCCATCTCTCTCTCCCTTCCTCTCTGAAATAAATTTTTTTATTTTTCATTTTTTTAAAATATATATTTTATTTATTAAAAAAATTTTTTTTTTTTTTTACAGAGGAGGAGAGAGGGATAGAGAGCTAGAAACGTCGATGAGAGAGAAACATCGATCAGCTGCCTCTTGCACACCCCCTACCGGGGATGTGCCCGCACCCAAGGTGCATGCCCTTGACCAAACCTGGGACCTTTCAGTCCGCAGACCGACGCTCTACCACTGAACCAAACCGGCTTCGGCTCTGAAATAAATTTAAAGAAATATTTTTTTTTAATAAAAGAGGAAACCTACTTGCCCATCCAGAGAGCTGCCATACACTGTGCTCAGGTGATGATGATGATGATGGTAATGATAAGAATAATGATAACAGCAGGCACCACAGAGCAGTTGTAACGTACCAGCCCTGCGAACACAGTCGCCCACTTAATCCTCCCCACAAGCACCCAGGAGAGGTCCTGTCATCGCCCCCCTTTTACAGACCAGGCCAGAGGGGTGCTGTGACCTGCGAGGGCAGCACCGGTCCCACGTCAGAGAGCTGGGATTTGAACCCAGGGGAGTGGCCACGGTGCCTGCCTGGGGCTGTAGAGGTGGAAGGAGAGGTCAGGTTGGGAAAGGTTGCATTTGACCTTGGCCTCGGCAGGTGGAGAGGAGGGCAGAGAATGCCTGGGGGAGGGAGCACCATGAAGAAAGGTATGGAGTTACAGGACAATGGCGTTAAGGAGGTTAAGGAGCAGGGTGCCGTCTTGTGTCCCCGGAGGGAGGGGGCAGGATGAGGGATTTCTAGGGAAGGTAGGCGGGGCCTTGTTGCCCAGCAGCCTGCCTACCTGAGCAGGTCCAGCCTCCCCTTCTAGGCCTGTGCTGCCCGACACCGGAGCCACCAGCCACACGGCGGGCCGCCCGGCACTTGAAACACAGGTGCCGCTAAGATGTGTGGGGCATGCTGGCTTTTCGAAGGAGAAGTCCCTGGCTTTCCTGGGATTCTCAGAGGAGTCTGTACCCACGTCCTGGGCCTGGGCCTGGCACGCCCATCGCAGGCACAGGGGCACAGGGGAGGAGTGGCCAGCAGGGAGGGGAGAACAGGGCCTTCCTTCCTCCTGGAGGGCCCCCGGGAGCTCTCGGTGCTCAGCGTGGAGGGCACCCCTCTTTTGGCAACACTGCTCTTTTCCGAAGGAAATCCTCCAGGGAACCCCGGTATAGGGCCAGAACACAAGTAGCGAAGGAGGATTCCTCTACAAGCCCAGAAGTCCAATACCAGGGCTAATTATAATTTTCATAACAGCGACCATTTGTCCAGTGCCTGCCATGGGCTGGGGCTTGAGGATCTAAATTCCTACGTAACTGGTCCTTCATCCTGCAGGGTCCCCGCCGACCGGGGAGCATGGCAGACAGGGCTGCAGGGAGGCCCCTGAGATGTGCCAGGCCAGTGGGAGGTTCCTCCCACCAGGAAGGGTTTGGGGGAAGGCTGAGGTTTGCTGACATCACGCTGCCTGTTTTCTTCCTGTTGGCTCCGCAGCTCCCAGCTTCCTTGCTCAGCCCAGCTACAGGCGGTTCCTGCGCCCTCTGGTGGCGAGGACCGGTATGACAGGGGACCTCACAGGGCCGGCCTGCATTGTGTCCTGAGATTTCCCTGCGCCAGGTGGGAAGGAGGGACAGGAGGGACAGGAGGGACAGGGCGGCTCAAAGCCCTGCCCCCGGCCTCCAGCTAGTCAGATGCAGTCAGGGCCAGAGACCCCTCCCCTGCCTTGGCCAACCACCGCTGCTTCCCGCCCCCATTACGTTTGCTTGCTGGTGGTCCCCACTAGACGGTGAACTCCCTGAGGACACGGGAGCCTATTGTGCCCACAGCAGGCACGTGGCAGGTGCCCTCACAGCGAAGGCTCTGAGGCTGGCATTTACCGAGAGCCCCCCGGGCACCTCAGCTGACCTCGTGGTCCCCTGTGAGGGATGTTTGCTGTGAGCACACCACTTGAGCGAAGGAAGCTGGGGCTTTGGTCAAGATTATGCAGCTGGAGGGTGCAACACTGGGTTTGTGTCCAGGAAGCCCAGCAGTCCAGCATCAAGGCCCGTGTTCCTTAAAAAAAATAAATTAAAAAAAATATATATATAAAATTGATTTCAGAGAGGAAGGGAGAGGAAGAGAGAGATAGAAACAACAGTGATGAGCCGAAACCGGTTTGGCTCAGTGGATAGAGCGTCGGCATGCAGACTGAAAGGTCCTGGGTTCGATTCCGGTAAAGGGCATGTACCTTGGTTGCGGGCACATTTCCAGTGGGGGGTGTGCAAGAGGCAGCTGATTGATGATTCTCTCTCATCGATGTTTCTAACTCTCTATCCCTCTCTCTTCCTCTCTATAAAAAAAATCAAAATATAATATATATATATAAAAGAAAGAAGCAACAATGATGAGACAGAATCATGGATCAGCTGCCTCCTGCACGAGTGTCAATCTGACCGGGAATTGAACTGTGACCTCCTGGTTCAGAGGTCGATGCTCAGCCGGCTGGCCGGCAGGGGTTTTCTCTCCTGCACAAGCACACCTGCCAGAGCCGGGCCACCTGGGTAGGCGGAGCGGGGCCTGTGATGCCTGAGCCGCCCGCCCTCTGCCTCCCCAGCTACATTCGCTGCTACTACTGGGCGGTGAAGACCCTCATCACCATCGGCGGGCTGCCCGACCCCAAGACGCTGTTTGAGATCGTCTTCCAGCTGCTGAACTACTTCACGGGCGTCTTCGCCTTCTCTGTGATGATCGGACAGGTAGCTGGGCCCTGGCCCTGCGTCCCACACCGGGCGGGAGCTGCCCGCCTGCCTGGGCCTTAGACTGAGCCTGGAGCCTGGGCTCGGGGCCCAGCCCTGGGGCGGTGGCTTCCCTGGGAAAGGCCCCCCCCCCCCTCCCGGAAGTCCGGAGAGCTGGCTGATGGCTTCTGCAGAGGCTGAGGAAGTGGAGAGAGCAGCCCCTGGGGTGGGGTTCTGATGTGCTGGAGGGCACACTCAGCAGTCCTTTGGGGGTCCCGCCGTCACCGGGCATATTTCCCGCCGCCGGGGGCCCCAGTGCCCCTGGCACCAAGCGGCTGTGTGGTATCAACATCAGCCCAGCCCTGACTGGTGTGGCTCAGTGGATAGAGCGTCGGCCTGTGGACTGAAAAGTCCCAGGTTCGATTCCAGTCAAGGGCATGTACCTGGGTTACGGGCACATCCCCAGTAGGAGGTGTGCAAGAGGCAGCTGATCGATGATTCTCTCTCATCGATGTTTCTAACTCTCTATCCCTCTCCCTTCCTCTCTGATTTTAAAAAAAAAAAATCAATGAAATATATATTTTTTAAAAACCCCACAAAACCAAAAACACCAGCCCGGCCCCTGGGACCTGAGGCCGCCCAGGGGGCCTGCAGCCTTCCCCGTCTATCCCCCCTCCATCACCTCCCGTTGTCTATCCCCACTCCATCACCTCCCGTTGCTGGAGACAGAACTCCCTGCCAGCAACTCCTTCTCTGGGTGCACGTGGGCCTCCTGCCCTCTGAACCCCCACTGCACCCTGGTCCCCGAAGCCCATGGAATGGCCCCATTCTGACCCAGCGGCTCCCCGCCCCCCGCCTCTCCCTCTCGCCCCAGATGAGAGACGTGGTGGGGGCGGCCACGGCGGGGCAGACCTACTACCGCAGCTGCATGGACAGCACCGTGAAGTACATGAACTTCTACAAGATCCCCCGGTCTGTGCAGAACCGCGTCAAGACCTGGTACGAGTACACCTGGCACTCCCAAGGCATGCTGGGTAAGACCCCCCCCCCTGGGGCCTACATTTAAGTGAGAGGGACCCAGGGGGAGCGGAGTAAGGGGCGCCTGGAGCTGGGCCGTCAGGAGGCCCTGGAGATCTGAGGGGCTTGTCTTCTGGGCACGCTGCCCACCTCACTCCACCCACCTTGGGATGGGCACTCATTGGAGATGGGAGTCCAACTGAGTCAGGAGAAAAGGAAGCCCCTCTCTCTCTCTCTCTGTGTGTCTCCAAATATATACATACACTAAAGGCCCGGTGCATGAATTTGTGCACATTGAAAATAAATTAATTAGAAGAAATATTTTAGAGGCCGGGAGGTTGGCTTCAGGGTACGTCCAGCCTGTCTCACCCCGTTCCCATCAGGACCAATCAGGGCCAGCTGGCCAGGGAGAGACTGTGGGAGGGCTCCAGGGTGTGTCCAGCCCATCTCACCCAGTCCCAAATCGGCTGGACCCCAGTAGCAAGCTAACCTATGGGTTGGAGCATCTGCCCTCTAGTGGTCAGTGCGCATCATTGCAACTGGTTGAACAGTTGACTGAACAGTGGACCAGCCGGACACTTAGCATATTAGGCTTTTATATACACTGAGTGGCCAGATTATTATGATCTCTGAACGCATAATAATCTGGCCACCCAGTGTGTGTGTGTGTGTGTGTGTGTGTGTGTGTGTGTGTGTATGTATGGGTGTGGATGGGCCGAGTGCAGTGTGGACGGGGCCGGGTGCAGTGTGGAAAGAGCTGGGTGCAGTGTAGACAGGCCGGGTGCAGTGTAGACAGGTCGGGTGCAGTGTGGATGGGCCGGGTGCAGTGTGGATGGGCCGGGTGCAGTGTAGACAGAGCTGGGTGCAGTGTGGATGGGCCGGGTGCAGTGTAGAGAGAGCTGGGTGCAGTGTGGATGGGCCGGGTGCAGTGTAGACAGAGCTGGGTGCAGTGTGGATGGGCCGGGTGCAGTGTAGACAGAGCTGGGTGCAGTGTGGATGGGCCGGGTGCAGTGTAGACAGAGCTGGGTGCAGTGTGGATGGGCCGGTGCAGTGTAGACAGAGCTGGGTGCAGTGTGGACAGGCCAGGTGCAGTTAGCTGGGTGCAGTGTAGACAGGCCGGGTGCAGTGTGGATGGGCCGGGTGCAGTGTAGACAGAGCTGGGTGCAGTGTGCACTAGGCCCACGTGGTGGGCGGAGCCTGGCTGAGCCTCTGACGGTCGCCGGGGTCTCTTTGCAGATGAGTCGGAGCTGATGGTGCAGCTTCCAGACAAGATGCGGCTGGACCTGGCCATCGACGTGAACTACGACATCGTCAGCAAGGTGGCGCTCTTCCAGGTACCCCACCACCCACACCTCCCCCGCCGCCCGCACCCCAGGCTCTGGGCGCCCCCCTCCCCCTGACGGGCTCCCGGCCCCCCCAGGGCTGTGACCGGCAGATGATCTTCGACATGCTCAAGCGGCTGCGCTCTGTCGTGTACCTGCCCAACGACTACGTGTGCAAGAAGGTGAGGGGCTCCCCGGCCCCGCTGCGGAGGGCTGGGGGGAGGGGGCTGTGAGGCCCAGAGGGTGGGCGCAGGGGAGGGGACTGGCAGGGAGGGGAGAGTGGTTGCGGGGATCCTGGTTCCGTGGCCCGGAGGCCTTGCCTGGCCCAGGCACTGAGCTTGGTGAGGCTCAGGCTCTGCTCCCCGGACATGGGGTCGGGGGGGGCGGAGCAGGGTGAGGAGCCCCCCGTTACAGAAGAGGGACGAGGGAGCCTGAGGGGGGCAGGGCGTGGCTGTGCGGGTGGAACTGTGCCAGAATCCTGGTCCTGCCCCGGGGAGGAGGGGGCGGGAGTGGAGGTGGGCCAGGGCCAGCCCGCAGCTGATGCCCCCGCATAGATGTCTGTGGGGTTTTCCACCTAACCTTTTAAAATTAATGTATTATTATTTTAAAATATATATATATATTTTATTGATTTTTTTACAGAGAGGAAGAGAGCGGGAGAGAGAGCTAGAAACATTGATGAGAGAGAAACATTGACCAGCTGCCTCCTGCACACCACCCACTGGGGATGTGCCTGCAACCAAGGTACATGCCCTTGACCAGAATTGAACCTGGAACCTTCAGTCCGCAGGCTGACGCTCTATCCACTGAGCCACACCAGTTGGGGCCACCTAACCTTTTTGTAAAGTTTTATATATATAAAGTTTGTGGGCTTGATCATTGATCGGAGGCAGCCGATCAATGATTCTCTCTCATCATTGATGTTTTTATCTCTTTCTCTCATTTTTCCTTCCTCTCTGAAATCAATAAAATATATATTGAAATATATGATCAATGATCAAGCTCACAAACTGGACAAGTGGTCGACGGGGAATCAAACCGTGACCTCCTGGTTCATAGGTCCATGGGCCCTCATCGGGGCGTGTAGCAGGAATTTGCAAAGCACCATTACACTTGCCCCTTCCATCCAGCATTTCCCGTTCCCCACCCACTCCCCACTGCAACCCTGTCACCGAGGCAGGCCGGGGGGGGGGTGGGCATTCTCCCCAATTTACGGAGGGAGAGGCTGGGCCCCCCCCCACACACACCACGCTGTGGCCAGCTGGCCCCCGGGGCGGGCTCCTGGCACCGTGCCACTGGCCCAGGCCTGCGTGTCCGTGGTCGCCTTTGACCGTGACAGAGGGTCGTCCCCTCCCGGTTCCAGGGGGAGATCGGGCGCGAGATGTACATCATCCAGGCCGGGCAGGTGCAGGTCCTGGGCGGCCCCGACGGGAAGTCCGTGCTGGTGACGCTGAGAGCTGGCTCCGTGTTCGGAGAAATAAGGTCAGCGGGGAGGACGGGGTGTGTGTGTGTGTGTGTGTGTGTGTGTCGGGGGGTTATGGGTGGACCCTCAGGGCCCCGGGGGTCAGAGGGAGCCGCTGAGGATGCACGGCATGCAGGTGGCATGCTCTCACGGCTGTGGGGCTGACACGGTGGGGAGGAATCCCGAAGGGCCTCACCCCACACCCACCCCGTTCTTCCTCACCCAGCCTGCTGGCCGTCGGAGGCGGGAATCGGCGCACGGCCAACGTGGTGGCCCACGGCTTCACCAACCTCTTCATCCTGGACAAGAAGGACCTGAATGAGATCCTGGTGCATTACCCCGAGTCCCAGAAGCTACTCCGGAAGAAGGCCAGGTACTTTTCTTTCTTTAAAAAAAAAAAAAAAAAAAAAAAAAAAAAAAAAAATTAAAAAAAAAATATATATGCTTTTATTCATTTCAGAGAGGAAGGAAGAGGGAGGGAGAGAGATAGAAACGTCAGTGGATAAGACAGAATCATCGATCGGCTGCCTCCTGCACGCCCCAGCCAGAAACCTGGGCATGTGCCTGCCCTTGACTGGAATCGAACCTGGGACCCTTTGGTCTGCAGGCTGATGCTCTAGCCACTGAGCCAAACCCGCTAAGTCCGGGTTTGCAGGGACTTCATAGAATTTACCCAAGTAATGGGAATTGATTGATTATGTCTGAGAACTTACCCCAACCTGTCTCTCCCCCGCCCCGCCCCCCCGCCCCCCTTCGTCCACCTGCAGCCCCCCCCCCCAACTCTTCCTCCCCCGGCAAGAAAGCCAGGCTCAAGTGGCAATGCCATCCCACCGGCTGAGTTAGGTGAAGCTTTGCCAAATCAGCCAGATCCTGCAGAGGCCTGGCTCCTGACCTGCCTGCGGGACAGGGGGTGGGGGAGGGGGCAGCCAGAGGAAGGAGGAGGGGCTGATTCTGGTTCTCGGGACAACAAGTTTGAGGGGAAAGGCAGGGGGCCATTAGTGAATGCTGTCCTGCATGCTGGGGACATGGGCAGACACTGTGCTGGGGACACAAGTGGACACTGTGCTGGGGACATGGGCGGATACTGTGCTGGGGACACAAGTGGACACTGTGCTGGGGACATGGGCGGATACTGTGCTGGGGACACGAGTGGACACTGTGCTGGGGACATGGGCGGACACTGTGCTGGGGACATGGGCGGACACTGTGCTGGGGACACGGGCGGACACTGTGCTGGGAGCACGAGCAGACACTGTGCTGGGGACATGGGCGGACACTGTGCTGGGGACACAAGCGGACACTGTGCTGGGGACACGAGCAGACACTGTGCTGGGGACATGGGCGGACACTGTGCTGGGGACATGAGTGGACGCTGTGCTGGGGACATGGGCGGACACTGCGTGTTGGGAACAGGGGCAGACACTGTGCTGGGGACATGGGCGGACACTGTGCTGGGGACATGAGTGGACACTGTGCTGGGGACATGGGCGGACACTGCGTGTTGGGAACAGGGGCAGACACTGTGCTGGGGACATGGGCGGACACTGTGCTGGGGACATGAGTGGACACTGTGCTGGGGACATGGGCGGACACTGTGCTGGGGACATGAGTGGACACTGTGCTGGGGACACAGGCGGACACTGTGCGGGGGACACAAGCGGACACTGTGCTGGGGACATGAGTGGACACTGTGCTGGGGACATGAGTGGACACTGTGCTGGGGATATGGGCGGACACTGTGCTGGGGACATGAGTGGACACTGTGCTGGGGACACAGGCGGACACTGTGCTGGGGACACGAGCGGACACTGCGTGTTGGGGACACGGGCGGACACTGCGTGCTGGGGACACGAGTGGACACTGTGCTGGGGACATGGGCGGACACTGTGCTGGGGACACGGGCGGACACTGTGCTGGGGACATGAGTGGACACTGTGCTGGGGACATGGGCGGACACTGTGCTGGGGACATGGGCGGACACTGTGCTGGGGACATGGGCGGACACTGTGTTGGGGACATGGGCGGACGCTGTGCTGGGGACATGGGCGGACACTGTGCTGGGGACACGGACATGAGCGGACACTGTGCTGGGGACATGGGCGGACGCTGTGTGTTGGGGACATGGGCGGACGCTGTGCTGGGGACACGAGCGGACTCTGCTTCCTTGCAGGCGCATGCTGAAGAGCAACAGCAAGCCCAAGGAGAAGAGCGTGCTCATCCTCCCCCCTCGGGCCGGCACCCCCAAGCTCTTCAACGCCGCCCTGGCCGCAGCGGGGAAGATGGGCGCCAGGGGGGCGCGAGGCGGGCAGCTGGCCCACCTCCGGGCGCGGCTCAAAGAGCTGGCCGCGCAGGAGGCGGCGGCCAAACAGCAGCAGCTGCTGGAACAGGTAATGTGCCGGGACCCGCCCCCGACCCCGGTCTGCTCGGTGCCAGGCAGAAGGCAGGCCCGGGCCTCCGAGGGGACCCACAGCCCATTCCAGGGAGAGCTTTCCTTCCTCCCTCCCTCCCTCCCTCCCTCCCTCCCTCCCTCCCTCCCTTCTTCCTTCCTCCCTCCCTCCCTTCCTTCCTTCCTTCCTTCCTTCCTTCCTTCCTGTCCACCAGGGCTTCTTTGGTTGCAAGGGACAGTGCAAGCCCATATTCACTTGAGAAAATGGAATAATTAAAAAGTTCGGGCAAGTGTTACCGGAAACCCCTGTTGGGTTAGGGTTGCCTGTCGCTGTGTCCAATAAGGAAGGCAGGGTTGAACCATATTAGTTAGGCGTTTATGGAGAAGACCAGCCAACCAAGAAGTCAGGGCGATCACAAGCATCAAATCCTGCCTTCCAGCAGGTGCAGGGGGGAGGGAAGTATAAAGGGGAAGGGCCCAGGGTGCTACCCGCAGCCCCAGGGGTCCACAGACATCAGCTATTGTCTTTAGTCATTGAGGAGATGATGTTGGCGAGATGATGTTTTAACTCCTGGTGGGTCGGCCTGACCATGCTTATTAGGTCTGCTTGCTGGATTCCCAGCTGAGTCGCCTCGTAAAATCGCTTCGCGCAGGCCTTGAAAAGGAAACTTTAAGAAAAATTTAACTCCCTGTCTATACTAATAAAAGCCTTGGGGGTGATCAGGCCGGCAGGGGAGAGCAGTTGGGGATGGTCAGGCGGGCAGGGGAGCGGTTAGGCGACAATCAGGCCAGCAGGGGAGTGGTTAGGGGGTGATCAGGCTGGCAGGCGGAAGAGGTTAGGGGCAATCAAGCAGGCATGCAGGCAAGTGGTTAGGAGTCAGCGGTCCTGGATTGTGAGAGGGATGTCCGCCAGAGGGTCTGAGATTGGCAAGGGTGCAGGCTGGGCTGAGGGACATCCCTCCCCCCGTCCCACCACACACACACACACTGTGCACAAATTTAATGCACGGGGCCTCTAGTTCTCATATAAGAAACGTAACCCCCTATTCATGTAAGTATATGTGTTCCAAGATTTAAAATAACACTATAACTTTTCAGATGAGCTCAGGTTATAGGTCCCCCTCCCACATGGCTGGGCCCAAACCCCAAATGATGCCAACAGGACGAGGCGTATCACCTGTTTTCCTGGGAGAGGACTCCATTCCTGGGCAGGCCCCAACAGAAAGTGTAGCAACTCGCCAAAACCAGTTTGGCTCAGTGGATAGAGCGTCGGTCTGCGGACTGAAAGGTCCCAGGTTCGATTCCGGTCAAGGGCATGTGCATTCGTTGCGGGCACATCCCTGGTGTAGGGTGTCCAGGAGGCAGCTGGTCGATGTCTCTCTATCCCTCTCCCGTCCTCTCTGTAAAAAAATCAATAAAATATATTTAAAAAAAAAAGAAAAGAAAAGAAAAAAAAGAAAGTGTAGCAACTCCAACAGAAAGAAAGCAGCTCTTTTCCAGTAATTCCAGCAAAAATCCCAGGGCTCGCTGTCATTGGACAGAATCAGGTCACATGCCAATTCCTGAGCCAATCGGTGGGGTGCTCCCCAGAGGCCTGGCTCACATGCCCCGCCCCAGGTGGAGGCGGTAGAGTGGCTTTCCCACCGGGAAGTCCTGGTGTGGGCAGCGGACGCCTCTCCCTCCCCAGAAAAGAGGGATGTTCTCCTCGCGAAGGTTGTGTCTGCTGAAAGGATTTGCATTTTTAAAAGACTTGGAAAAGGCGACAGGCACGGTGCAGGCTGCTCCCGCCCCCATAAATCTAAAGGGAATTTTTAAATTAGTTCCGGGACGGTTTTTCTGTGACTAATGCCCAGAATGCCAATTAGAATGATTGCATTAATTATGGCTGCTCATTACTGTCCTGCAGGGAGGCTGCCAGGAAATGGGGGGATGGGCTTAGGCCGGAGCTCGGTGGTGGGGGTGAGGGTGGGTTGGGGGGGGGGCAGCAGGCCATGGGAGACAATTCGGAGGAGCTCCCCATAACATAGCATTTCTATAAGTCGCCATGACGGCTCCACCCAGCCCCCACCCGCTGGTTGCACCTGCTGAGCTCACCATCCTTCCCCGTGGGGGTCCGACGAGGGGAGCAGCGAGGTAGCTGAGATCCCTTGGGCATTCTCAGCCTTACCAGCCACCCTTTTGGGATTCTAGGCCAAGAGCTCGGAAGACACTGCAGAAGAGGTGGGCTCTGCCGCTCCAGGCCAGCCTGTACCCCAGGAATCCCCGGCCCCAGACTCTCAGCCACCCGCCTCGCCAGGGGGCGCCGAGGAGGGGGCGGCTGGTCCTGAGGAGGAGCCCTCGGTGCAGGTCCGTGTGAGCTCCGGCCTGGACCCTGGCGAACAGATCCTGTCGGAGGAGATCCCGGAGAAGAAAGAGGCGGAGTGAGGGGCCCACCCCGCCCCACCCAGCAGCCCAGCAGCCCAGCAGCCCAGCAGCCCAGCAGCAAAGACGCTGGTCCACAGTGGTGGCCTGGGTGGCCGGCCCTCAGCTCCCTGCTGGTCCACACTCCTCTCCCACACCAGCTTCTCCTGGCTGGTCTTGGCGGCACCAGATTTCCCAGTGTCCCTCAGTTCCCACCTCCCTTGACCAATGTTTTCAAGAACAAATATATATTTTTTCCAATTTTCCAATTTGCAAGTTCACAGGCAGAGTCTAGAATGGGCTTGAACACCAGGGGGCGCTTTGCTGGAGGTCGAGGGCTTTGACTGTTGGGGGTTTCCCTTCAGGAATGGGGCTTCCGCGTTTCAAGGACAGGAAAGGTCCAGCAGAAAGGCAGGCAGTTGTACTGTCCTTTATTTTATTTTATGAATTTTACAAAATATATTATTGATTTTTGGAGAGGAAGGGAGAGAAAGAAACATCAAGGATGAGAGAGAATCATTGATTGGCTGCCTCGTGCACGCCCCCTACTAGGGATTGAGCCCATAACCCCGGCAGGTGTCACGATCGGGAATTGAACCATGACCTCCTGGTTCATAGGTCAACGCTCAACCACTGAGCCACACCTGCCGGATGAGCCACTGTTACTTTTCACTTGATTTATCTGGGAGTGTTTCCCCCTTCAGCTCCTAAAGGGCCTGCTTGTTTTGTGATAATTGCACTCTGGTCCGTGTCTGGAAATATCACAACATTGAACTGTTCCACCGTTCACACGCATTTGCATTATTTCCCATCTTAGGCCGTTAAACGAAATGCTTCAGTAGAAAATCACACCCCGACGTAACTTCACTGGTAAACACTATTTCTAAACAGGAGAAGTCTGGAGGTTTGGGCTAATGCTTTTTCTTTATCTTTCCCATTTATCATTCTCATATTTGCATTGTGCATCCTAATAGAGGTCCAAGCATAGGGAATGCTTTCATCCTGAGCAAGCACTTCAGATAATATCAATACAGTAAGCGTATCGCCCTTCAGTAGATGACAACATGTCTCAAGGGCACTCTCACTTATGAGGATTTTTTGTTTATTTTTAATATATTTTTATTGATTTCAGAGAGTAAGAGAGAGGGAGAGAGATAGACACATCAAGGATGAGAGAGAATCATGGATCGGCTGCCTCCTGCATGCACGCCCCTTACCGGGGACCGAGCCGGCAACCAGGGCACGTGCCCTGACCGGGAATCGAACCATGACCTCCTCGTTCATAGGTCAATGCTCAGCCCTTGAGCCATGGCAGCTGGGCTATGAGGACTTTTTAATATGAATGTACTTATCCTTTTAGATCTCAGCCCCTTGAATGTATACTGCTTATTATATAAAGCGAGAGATTTTTTGAGGTTCCCAAGAAGTGTCCTTGAAAGAAAATTGATTTCTGAGGCGAGATTAGCGGCGTCTTAATTTCACCGCGCTATCTCACGGAACGGGACGATGTCACAGAACGTGGGTATTGGGTACATGGAGTCAGAGGCTGGCATTATTCTCCAAGCAGACTCAGATGGGTTGGTCGCCCAGGTGTAGATGGAACAGCTCAGAAACACTAATTCTGCCGCCGAACCGGGACCTGTATTGATGCCTGTGGAATCTGGACTGATTTAAAACGTCTCAGCGTTGCCCGCCTTCGGGTAGAAAATGAATAGCAAGCTGTGTTTTTCTTCTAACTGCGTACACATTTTAAATAAAAACGAACACCAAGGAGCTGCTTAAAATTCCATTACCAGAATGTGCTCAGCTTAACCTGGAATACTCTCCGCTGTTTTCTTAGTACATGGGCGGCCGGCCTTGCACGCTCTGGCTCCCATCCCAATCACGGCGCGTTTTAATTAAAAAAGATTCAACCCGCGGCCCTGGCTCATGGGTTCATTTCGGAAACGGACCACGCGTGACAGACACTTTGGTGAGGAAAGCCCCGCCCGGGGCCTGGCTCAGGCTGCCTGGCCCGTCCCCACTGCCCGCTCTGGGGCTGCCCTCCGGCCTGCAGTGCCGTGGCTGAGTGACATCCCGGTGGCATGCCTTACCAACTTCCCTGAGCCCTAGGATTCTACCCCCCCCCCCCAAAGAAAAATGCCCAGCCCCTTTGTATCCGGTCTCACCTATTGTCCTCACCAAGCCCACTGGCCTCATTCAATGGTGCAGAGTGCTGACCAGCCGGGCCAGGGGTTCCGAATGCCTGGCTTGCAGCCCGCAGCTGGACCACTTCTGTGGGTGGCCATGGACCGCTCTGAGCCTCAATGACCTCATCAAGGAGATGGAGGTGATACACGCACCGCCCAGGGCCACAGAGATGGGCAGATAAGAGACTGATGTCGCTGGTCGGAAGGGGCGTGAGGACGCAAGCGACTCCATCTCCTAAGGTGACCAGACATCCCGCTTTTGGCGGGACAAGTGGGACGCCTGGTCTCCTTAATTAGACCGACAAGGAAGGCAAATGGGTCGAGAGCTCCAACTGCGAGAGACCACCTTTTTTTTTTTTTGTATATATATTTTATTGATTTTTAACAGAGAGAAAGGGAGAGAGATAGAGAGCTAGAAACGCTCATGAGAGAGAAACATTGACCAGCTGCCTCTTGCACACCCCCTTACCGGGGATGTGCCCGCAACCAAGGTACATGCCCTTGACCGGAATCGAACCTGGGACCTTTCAGTCCGCAGACCGATGCTCTACCACTGAGCCAAACCGGCTTCGGCGAGAGACCACCTTGAAAGATGCTCAGAAGCGGGTCTGGAGCAGATGAGCGTGGAGGGGGAGGACGGGAGTCACGGGCTGGCATGGCCAGGAGGGGCTTCGTGAAGACCGAGCTGCCCGGGAGGAAGGGAAGGCTGGCCAGGAGCGGGGCTGCAGTGGCAGACCGTCCGGACGCACACCTTGTGCCCGAAGAGAAGGGTTCGCAAAAGGCGAGGTTAGGTGATCAGGCATCTCTGGTCCACTCCCGAGGCCAGCATCCGAACGCTGACTGCTCTCTGTGACTCAGCTGGCTTCCGGCCTCGTGCCAGACGGAGCAAAAGAGAATATTTCAGATAAGCAGCAGAGGGAGGGCTTTTCCTGTTCAGCGTATGGGCCTGCTCACTATGTGGGATCTGTCGATGCTAAACATTATTTGTGATTTATCCAGAATTCCCATTAGACCACGGCTGGGGTGGCCGCCACCTCCCTCGCTGGCCTAGGCCCTGAGGCATCCCAGCACGGCCCAGCCGGGAAAGGCTTCCGATTGGGTGCCTCGCTCCCTCCTTCTCCAGAGCGGGGTCGTGATTGGCGGAGGAGGAGGGAGAGGACCCGCCCCTGTTCTGTGGGCAGGGGTGTTCGGTGTTTAATAGTCACCGTTATTCGCTTTATTCTGCACGCACCTAGGATAGGAGATGTTCTGCAGGTTTCTTCTGAATGGCCTTCATGTAGATAATACCCTGCTCCACCCGCACACCCGAGAGGCCCAGGACCCATGCAGGCAGCCAGACGCTGCCCAGGTGAGGGTCTGGGGAAATGAGTGTGTCTGCTCCTGAAGGGGAAGGAGGTCATGGCACCCCTCCCCTCCGGAAACCTGGGGCCTGGCACCTCCCTCCCTCCCTTTGGTATGTAAACGATCTCCCCTCCCCCCACCCCTCAAGCCTGACAGCCCCGGGGTCTCCCTACCCCTGGCTCCTGGGGCCCCCCAGTCCTGGGACTTCACCCCCTTGGTTGTCAGTGTCTGTGGAGACAGGGCTGGGGCCTCCTGACACGTTGGGCTGCACCTGGAGGCCTGGGCCCAGCTGCAGCCCCTTGGCCCTGGATCACCCTTCCAGAGGGGAGCAATTAGCCAGACAAGCGGCTGCAGGTCTGATGAGCACAGTCGCTGCAGGAGGCTGGGCTTCCCTGCGCCCCCTCCTTACCCCCACAACGCTGAGAAATCCAGGGACCTTGTGCTTCCCAGAGTCGGTCCCTATAAAAATGTGCATGCGGACTGGACTGCCGGGGCACCCGCCCTTCCCATTTCTAGATTTCTGAAACCAGAAGAGCCCTGCTCCTGTAAGAACGGGACGTGGTTCCAGACAGAACCAAAACAGGCGTTCAGGTGAGACCGAAAACATCCGTATGGAAGCCGAATGTTAAGCAAACGGTTTTAAAACCAGCCAAAACCGGTTTGGCTCAGTGCATAGAGCACATGTGTCAAACACAAGGCCCGCGGGCCAAATCCGTCCCGCCAGGCCTTGCAATGTGGCCCGAACCGCGCTGTCATCACTGCACTTTGCTGCGTTTCCATCACAATGACAGTTTATGACTGTTCAGTAAACCGTTCGGCCCGTGATTTAGGCTGGATTTTAGATGTTGGCCCCTTCTCTGATTGAGTTCGACACCCCTAGCATAGAGCATTGGCCTGCGGACTGAAGGGTCCCAGGTTCGATTCCGGTCAAGGGCATGTACCTTGGTTGTGGGCACATACCCAGTAGGGGGTATGCAAGAGGCAGCTGATCGATGTTTCTCTCTCATCGATGTTTCTAACTCTATCCCTCTTCCCTTCTCTCCGTAAAAATATCAATAAAATATATATAAAAAAATAAAAATCAGATCTGTCTCCATTCCGTGGAGGACGTGGTGTCGGGTGATGGTTGGCAGGTGAGTGGTGCTAGGAAAGAAGCTGCTAGGACGGAGCAGGGGCCTCGAAAGTTGGTCCCCGAGAAAGAACATGCTGCATGCGGTCAGCATCTCAGTTTGCTCAGAGGGCGGAATTGAGAACGGAGGGGGGTCCTTTTTGAAATTGCCCCCAGAGAAACATTACGTGATGACTGTGGAGAAGAAAAATGTGAAGCCTAGGAAAGGAGATCCAGAACTCCGAGTGATTCAGATTTGAATGACAGGCCTTAGGAGCCACAGGTGTCCTTAGGAGGAAAATCAAAGGGCAGCCACCCACCTTTCCTAGCAGGGCCCTGCGTGAGATTGCTAATAGGAAAGTAAACAGGAATGTTTCTCTTAAACTTGGCAGCAGATAGGACTTTGAATGGCAGAATGATGTATGCTAGGGGCCTTGGAGCTGTCCTACTTAGCAATTCCGTTTTGATGTTTTTAAATATTGTTTAAAGTATGACATATGTCTCCTTTTCCCCTATTGACGCCCCCCCTGCCACTCCCATCCTCCAGGGCAAGCCCCACTGCCACAGTGTCTGTGTCCATTGGTTAGCTAATATGCATGCATACAAATCCTTTGGTTGATCTCTAACCACCCCTCCCCCCCCCCCCCACTTCCCTGGCCCTCGTCTCTGTATCTATTTTTGTTAATCAGTTTATGTTTATCATTATATCCCACATATGGGCAAGATCATGTGATGTTTATCTTTCTCCAACTGGCTTATTTCGCTTAGCACAATGCTCTCCAGGCCCATCCATGCTGTGGCAAATGGTAAAAAAAAATTCTTTTTTATAGCCGCGTAGTATTCCATTGTGTAGATGTACCACCGTTTTCT